AGGGTAACAAAAAGCCTAAATGACTGGTTACTGACAAGTCTTTTACGTGTTTATGCTGCTGATTTTATTTCAAATAGAAAGGGAAATGAGACAATATAGGATATCAAAATGTATCAAAAATTAAAATATTTGCAAAAAAACTAATTGTCATGCTAAAATCTCATGTTTAAATCTTCATCTGTTTTTCTCTTTATCAATCAATAAACAACACAAAACCACGATTTAATGTCTTTTCACGAGCAATAATTCATGATATAATTTTATAACAAAACAGACTATGTTGAATTTGATAAGAAACGTCGAATATGTTTTTATTCTTCTTCTTCTGTTTGTGTGTTTTTAGTTTTTCTTTTTTATTAAGCTGAACCGATCTTTTTGACCGGGGCCTTTATCATGCTTCATGTTTCTAATGGACATATCCATCTCTTTCTTAAAATCTATGCCACCTTTCCGATGACGTAGCGTGGTTGAATTCAAATAGTACTCATTTTGTTTTAATAAGCCAATTCACAAGGACGTAAAAATATTCATATAATTGTTTACATATATAAAGTGTTTAAATTTCGACATTTAGTACCGGAACAGAACGGCTGAGAATATAATGTTCTTTATTTATTTAATAACTGTTGGTTTACTTGATTAAGGAGTTTAATTACAAAATTAACACATACCATCGGCGTTCATTGTTTGTCCTGTTTTTGTATACTGAAAAACATAAAAAATAAAGATTATTTATGAAAATGTATAAATTTCATTTCATTGTAATGCTTCTTTTCCGCAGAATTCGTAAAAGATATTTGTATGTTTCATTGAACGTTCTAAATATATTTCACTCACTGAGCACATTGTGCAATAATTGAAAATAACACGATGAAATTATTTAATACATGCACTTTTTGTATGATTAGGAATTTTATAAATCATTATTATTTACATTCTTTTAGTTTTATTGCATTGTGCAAGTGACTGCTCGTTTGTAATTAACTTGTACCCGTACAGTTTCAGACAAGCTTATCTTGAGCATTCTTATACAATTTGGCTACTCTTGTCCATAATTATTTTATTATTTCAAACTTTTATTTCAATAAAAGTGAAATGAAGCAGTAGCTTTCGCAAACAATTACAGTTAAGCTGCTTCACTGTAAAATACGCTATTTGGCAAAACATTTCAAAACAGAATGTTATAATATATATCTTTCGATAAATACATATTCATTGAAAATTGAGAAAAATTGATTAAATAAAATGCGTGTTTTCCTTTTCCGTATTTTCACTGTAAAAATATTTTGATTGAGGTAAAACATATTTTCCGTATTTTCACTGATGTCTTGCCGGGCTACTTTCCTCTAAATTCAGCCAATTAACAAAATTTAAGGGGAAGCCTTTCAAATTCTAATGTCAAAAAAGAGAAACATATATATAATAAACAGAAAATTCAAGAAACCGGCACGAGTGAAGTAGTATACTTTCTACCACTTGATGAATTTATAATAAACAGAAAATTCAAGTTACCGCCATGAATGAAATATCCTACTTTTCTACCACTTGATGAATTTATAGAAAAAATAAACTTAAATATCCTCTATTTCTATCAGCCTAATCATATATCAACAGAACATACATAAACAATACTTACCTTAAAAGAAAGACAAATGTAAAAATGTAAATATTTGTAAAAGTAGCCATTCTTCAAATACTCCAACTATTCACGGTAGCTTCCAATGCTCACAATAAATAAAATTCATCCGGGAGTTTAGATATACGAGTTTTTCAAAAAAAGAAGCATGCAACCAGCTGTTCCTCAAGATGACAACTGTATTAATCTTTGACGGAAAAACAAATATTGTCAGTGCAAAAAAGTACTTTAAATAACAAAGAGATACAATTCTGAACGTTATAAAGGGATCATGTTGTTCTATAAGTGAGAATACTGAGATTTTTCTTAATGCTAACCTTTTAAGGGGGGGGGGGGCCTTTCCCCCCCGGGTGGAAAAATCTTATTCATTTTTAATTTCTTCAAAAAAAAAAAGAAAAAAAAAAAGGGCCTTTTATGTTTGGTATTTTGTTACAGTCTTCAACAAATTTTAATTAGCGGACATATAGATGAGCGATCGCTTTCTCCTTCTTTGGTATGGTATTAAAACACGATTTAACAATGATTAACAATGACAAATGTTTAGGATAAAATATGAAAACAGCCAAAGTAAAAAAAAAGACAGCCCTACTTCTTTTATAAATTGAACATCTTCGAAAATTTCCCGAAGGGTATAACAAGATATTTTTAGGGTCACAGTGGCTATTACATACACGAGGAAATAAATGGTGGCATAGATCGTAGGGAATCTAAATTCGAATACGATCCGTAAACAATTTTAAGAAGTATAAATTTATACAACAGCTGTAATATCATATGATTGTCTTGTTAACTCAAATTTCATAAAGATTAATACTTTTTCAATTGTACTGCAGTGATTTCAAATCATGTTTGACATCACGTTAACAAAAATAACTTTAACCTTTTTCTCCGATGAATTTTATAGACTTTTAATACTTCCGAGGGATCACATTTTTCCAGATATTTGTCCACTTTCAAATGTTGCAACTATCCATTGTCAATTTTGATTGCATTAAGATTGATCCTTGATAAGCCAACAGTATAGAGCCAGGTAAACCTCCATTGTCCTGCCTGAACTGGCTCTATACCAGTTGCAAAAGTTAATCACTTTTTGTTCCAGCAGCTTAAGGTTTTTAGAGCAGAACTGTCCATCGAGAATATGAGAAACGAACTACAGAAAGATCGCAGATACTTGTTCTGAAATTGCAGGTAAAGAGAATCGTCCATGTGTGAATCAGGGGTAAACAACGCAAACGGTTGAATTGTATAAAGCGAAATTAAAGTGTCTGTAAATGGTAAATTTTGATAGAAATTAAATTAAAAGGGATGATTGTGAATATCCAATATAATGATGATCATAATGTTGACCATCCTAATACGGAAGATGATGATTATCAATATACCTAAATAAATTGATGATTACGATGATGATGGTGAGAATGACGATGTTAGTTATCTTGAAGATGATGATACTATGATTATTAAAATAATGATGATTATGATGATCGTGGTGATATAGATGTTAATTCATATGTTGATCGCAATGATGATATGACAATAATACTGATGGTGATAATAAATTTGATAATGTGTTGAGGATGACAATGATGATGATCATCATCATGGTGACGATGAAGAAGAAGAAGAAGAAGGAGGAGAAGAAGAAGATGCTGATGATGATGATGATGATGTTGATGATGATGATGACCATGATGATTCTGGATCAGCGCCTGTTATAGAATTAAACTTAAAAAGATCAAATGACTATGTAAGTAACAAGTCAGGTCAATTTGTTAACAGAATCGCTTCGATAAATAAATTTTATGATGTATTTTATATCTGTTATTTTTTTATTATATTTTTTAACTCGTTAATCATTTATGTTTATTTCACATTTTTCGCGTCAGATGTTGCAAGTGCGAAAGTACTCATGCAAACATGCTTTTAATTACATTTCGTGTCGGGTTTTTTTTACATTTGTCATACTTTGACACTTGATTATTGAGAAAAAAAACAATCAGTCATTTAATATAAGATGAAATTGTATTCAATTCAATCAATTTCTGTTTTCTTTTAGGATCACAAGTAATGGATTTATATTTGATTCTAAGCACAAGAGCACGTAGCACAACCCTAGTTGGTTTATTCAGAATTTACTTTTAGTTCGGATTGGGATTTTAGGAAGCTGTAACTTATAAACACATAATTTTCCGAATGAACCGTTTCCTGGAACCAACCAATACTGGAGTTGTAAATTTTTTTTGTCAAGGAAAAAACAACAATTTTGCTCCTGACCGGGGGTTTGAACCCCCAATCCTATTTTTTAACTTTAGTGATATATTCTTTTGTCGGTTGTTTCGTGTTTGATTGTTTTTGTTTTTTTCAAAACGTATTAAGACACTGCAACATTTTAATTGATATAGTTATTATTCACAATTTTATGTTTTGCATTGGGCAATATCAATATGAAAATCTTGTATTTGAACATCTAAAAAGTTCTTTAAGGGTGAATTTTTAAGTCTTAAGAAGTCCAGTGACCGCCATAGAATAATTACTATATTGACAACCTGCCATTATATTCAAAGCATACTGACTCCCTAATAATACATATTACAATGACTGGGTAAAGTAACAACTTGACCTCCAAACGCAAATGGGGGACCCCCCACAGAATATCTTTTAAATAAAAAACTTTGCCCCGCATGTACCTATCTACTTTTTTTTTAAATTTGATTTTCAAAAAAATTATCAGAAAAATTTAAAGATGGGCTAAAAACAGCGTATCAAAGGGTGATGATAAAAACCAAATTAAAACGAAATCTAAGGGGTTTGATTTTAAACCATATTAACGTATCTTAGGGGTTTGATTTTAAAACCCAAGAGAGAAGACCTTTTGGTTTAAAAATTTCATATAAAATGAAACTTTTACGGGAAAAAAATTAAAAGACAAAAATTTGTTAAAAAAAAATTTTAAATTTTTGAGCGGAAAATAATTTCCGGTATTTTAAATTTTAGTTGTACAAAACTACTTAGGGGGGCAAAAATTTAAAAATTTATTTGATAGCCCATTTAAATTTCCCCTTTTTCCCAATCGCGCCTCTTTTGTTTTTTTAAAAATACCTGTTACAACCGCAATACATTAGTTTCATTTCATAACAAAAATAAAATTCAAAATGCAAATTTTATAAAAGTTGAATGTTTTGCATTGTTAATCAAAATTTTATCAGGCAAATACATATTTTATATAGATTTATTACCAAAACCTTTATATTTGGTGACGATTAAAGAAAGAAGATGTGGCTTCAGGAGCAGTTGCATAAGAATGGTGTATATTATCACAATAAGCATGTATAAGATAGACAATTAAGCGAAAACTAAATTGAGACTTCATTTAATACAATGCAATATGAAACATTTCATCGCCTACACGCGCCTAATCATCATTCTCGACGATTTCAGTGACTGCATCCCTTGGAAAAGATAAAATATCATTCCTGCCCTCCCTGAATCACTCGAATGGACTGTTCCTGGTGTAATATAATCGACGTTTAAATTAACATATGTGCAAGGACCATGCCAGTACCACCATCCTCCGTGGCACAGTTGTGCGTTGTTGCCTCCATTACTTTCATCTACATCATGATCATATGTCGAGAAACGCCGGCCATTGCTGTAGTACAGACCATATGTTGTATCTCCTTAAACGGGACAATTATTAATTTAAAGAAAGGCAATTCTGGTAGAAGAGATCATTAAATTTGAGGATTTTTATCTTTTTTCTGGGGGTGTTTTTTGTTTAGTCTTTTTTGTAGACGTTTGTAGGTTTTTTATTTTGTTTTGTTTTCCTTTTGTGTGTGTGTGTTTTTTTTGTTTGTTTGTTTGTTTTTGTTTTGTTTATTTTGTTATTTTTTTATATTTTCACTGTATTTAAGAATTTAATCTAGAATGGATCGTATAAAATTTAATACATGCATATATGAAATAACAGCTTTAAACATTGTACCTGCAGAGCCGTATCCTTGATCGACGTGCAGCCTGTAGTCGCCTTCGTCTAAATGAAAGTTTGTGTATACTTCAAATGCTTTGGAACCGTCTGCTGATTCTACATCAATTCGTAATTCCGTCTTGTTTTGTGATTATAATTCAAATATATAATGAAGCCCTTGACAATAAAATAAAACAGCGCGATATGTTAGTAATATCGGATGCAACGAACAACATGGTCAAAACAAAGTTCTTTTACTTTCTTTATGTTCAATTTAAAAATAAGTTTTGATTTTTGTTTCAACCAACTTAGATTAAATTAAACAAAAATCTATTAATCTAACATTATTTATCAAACTCAATGCAATATGTGTTTTATGTCGGTATAACGAACATTACAATTGAGTTTCGTTTTTATACTGTCTCCATTTAAATTGCTTTTTTTTAAACGATTGTTATATTATATATTTAGCAAAAAACAAACTTTAATGAAACGGTTATATTTTACCAATAACAGGGTGTCAACGGAAGTTAGATGAAAACACAGGGATGGAAACTTGTATGGATCTCAAAAATGATCATCGCTAAAAAGAAAATGTGAATTTCCGCTGCTCCAGATGTGAAGCATAACACCAGATGTGACAGTGAAATTAGATCAAACTCAAGGTAAGTTTTCAACTTTTTAAACAGGTATACAAATGTATATAATTCAAACCTTTTTTAAGAAAATCAAAATGTGATTCTACCCACCTGACTCTCCTCTATATTACCCAATTTTGTATTTTGATTTCTATGCAGTCTTCATTAAGATATTCTTTCCGCCGTGGGTGCTTGTGTGTCCAAAACATGCAATGTGCATAGAAATCCAATACAAAAATGAGTTATATAGAGCAGAGTCAGGAGTGTAGAATCACACTTCGATTTTCTTATAAAAAGGTTTGAATTTAAAAAGTTGAAAACTTATCTTGCGATTTTCCTAATTCTCTGTCACATCTGGTGTTATGCTTCACATTAACTTTTGACCGATGCTCATTTTTTTTGAGATCTGTATGGGGTTCCTCCCCCGTCGAAAAGCTTACCTTTAAAATTCACATTAAAAATAATTTCTGATAAAATTAATGTCAAATATGTATATAACAAAGGCACAGGCGTACTGAAGTTCATACCTAGCCAGAATTCGCCGTTACTATCTCCAAAACCAATGGAGTAATTAGCGTGATTCCGGTAGAAGTCCACTGAACCATTAAACCGTCTTTGGAACACCTGTGATCAGAAACAGTCTTTATTTTTCCGAAGTCTGACGATTAGTATTATAAGCCCTTCAATTATGCCCCCCGATTAATAATTGAAATATGTTATAGTATTGCACCGGCCCCTTAAAACAAAATCATTTGATCGAGTCTGTTCATGAGAGATAATAAAGGGGCAGCATGTCTAACGTCCCCTAGCTCCGGCTCAGCGGGCGTTGGATAATAGTGGTAGCACACCCTATTCCACAAATAAATATACATTTTGTTATAATTTTCTCTTCCTTTGCTTATCATTTAAGACTATCATAATAATAAAAATAACGTTTAATTGAAATAACAGGATTCACAATAAACGCTGTATACAAAACATTAATTTACTATCAAATCGGCGATCGCAATTATTCATTTTTCACTGTATAGCCAAATGTTTGATCCGCATAATTTATTTTGAACAGGAAAAATAAAGAAGTACATTATACATGAAATATGCTTAAATGGTGTGAATACGTGTCTGTGGATGTTTAGCAGAAAGTAGCAGTCTTGAGCCAAGATATTTCACAAAGGAGTGTTGCGTTGTAAATCTTAATATAATAAAGAGATATTTCCATATATATTGTTGTTTTTAGTCGGTAAATGCAACGTTCGTGTTTTATTTATGTTTTGTTCACTGGCCATATAATAAATATGCAGTTGATTTGTTAATAAAACCGGGAAATATTACATTTTCTTATAGCTTTACTATTTTATGTTATTTTGACAAATGTCACATAAGACTATTTCTTTCCTCCTATAGAAAGTGGGTAATTTTGTACATCTTGATTTCTTTTTTTTAATACAGAATGCGTATTTGCAAGACTACAAAATTTCATATTTTAGTAATATCTGGACTTGTAATTAATTAGAAATGTATCGCCATGCCACGGCTGTCCCCGCATGCAGCCAACATTTCAAATGTTATAATATTTAGTTCAAAATTTGTTTGCACAAACTGTTTTTTCATTCTAAGTTCAAAACACTTAAAACTGTTCAATGTTTACACAAACCATTTTATACAAAGTTCAAAGCACTGAAAATTATTCAGTGTTAACTTTTTGTAAATTACAAATTGCATATTTGTAGTCAAAATAATGACTACATACATTTCCGCAAAAGTATGAGTGCTGAAACTGAATATGATTTTTTCCCAACATTCAAGAGAGATAATAAGTCCAAAGTCATTGAATCACGACCAAATTCAAACTTCAACTGCTTATTCCTAAGATGTCATTATAAGTCAAATTTGAGTTGAATGTGTACAACCATTGGGGAGATAATGGTCGGAGACTAAACATTTTTGATTTATTTTCAAAGTTTAAGTGGCATACCTGTGTCAGTTATCATCAAACCATGACCAAATTCGAACTTGAACAGTGTATTCTTATGACATATCCATATATTAAATTTGAGTTGAATATGTACAACTGGTGGGGAGATAAAGAACGGAAACTGAAAATTTCTTCTTTTTTTCAAAGTTCAAGAGGGATAACTCTGTCAAAAATCATCAAACCATGACCAAATTTGATCTTGACCTGCACATTCTTATGACATATCGATAAATAAAATTTTAGTTGAATGTGTAAAACTGTTGTGGAAAATGAACAGAAACTGAAAATTTCTTATTTTTTTAAAAGTTAGGGGTATAACTCTGCCTAAAATCACTGAACCATGACAAAATTTGACCTTGACCTACACATTCCTATGGCAAATACATATCTTAAATTAGAGTTGAATATGTACACCCGTTGGGTAGATAATGAAAAGAAACTTATTTTTTTTTCAAAGTGGAAGGGGCATAACTCCTTTGGCATATCCATATATCAAATTTGAGTTTAATGTGTACATCTATTGGGAAGATAATGATCCGAAACTGAAAATGTAACTGAAACTGTATATTTTTTACAAAGTGAAAGAGGCATAACTCTGCCAAAATTAATTAAAGAATGACCAAATTCGAACTTGGTCTGCGCATTTCATTGAAGTATCCATATGTCACATTTGAGTTGAATGTGTAAGCCGTTGGGGAGAAAATGAACGGAAACTTAAAATTTTATCAAGAGGCTCTGTCACAAATCATCGGACCATGACCAAATTCAAATTTGACCAGACGAGTATTTTCTAATGATACATCCATATGTCTAATTTGAGCTGAATGTATGCAACCGTTACTAAGATAATGAACAGAAACTGGTGATGACCGAATTACAGAAGGGCGGAAGGATGGGAGGACGAAAGGGCGGAATGACGGAACAGAGTAACACTATATGCCCCGGCCATTTTATTGTGGAGGCATAAAAATCCGTATTCTAGTATAACAGGGACTTCGTACAACAATGTCACCGTATATGACGAGTGCACGGTATATAAGTCATATACGTATTGCAAGATAAACGGTCCTGTACATCTCCATTTATTCATAATTACGGAAATCCGTACACATCCGTGTCTCCATATATTTTCTGCTATGGTCTTAATGGCGTGGAATGCCGTTTATTGCATAGGATTTTTACACAGGGCGATCTTTTACTGACAAACAAGATAGCAACACGCTGTGATAGCGTTACATTTATCAAAAGGGGTAGGGAAATAAAATCACGTGTTGCAAAATATTTGAGTGGGTGATCCCCTGTTTATTTTGGTCATTTAGACTGAGTATACGTTTTACAGGACGTTTAAAGAAAAATATCAAAAACTATTTCAGGATTTTTTTACCAGCCGCGTTAAAGCCGAAAAATAAGGCCAAACTGAACGTCAAAATGTACACAAAATTGACAATTTTCTTTCCATTTTTCAAACATTTTTTTGCGCAAAACAATAAATTTGAAATCAGCATACATGACTTTAATTTCCGTCGAATACTGTAGAATGTAAGACATTATGTTAGCCGATAGCGTTTTGATACCCGTAACAGTTGCCAAGCATTAGCAACGACGGTACATTCTAAAACGGGCTTTGGTGGTCAACCTTGACGCCATGTGTACAAAAAAGGCTGACACTAATGGAGTAAAATCAACGGAATCTAATCTGAAATATGGCTTCCTTTTAACATGCCAATTTTCAAGACGCTTTTCAAAAATTAGCAAATTGTCACGTTCTACCTTACGGTTGCTATAGATAATTGATAGATAGATTGTATTTGCTATCATATAGAGAAGTGTTCCAGCTTTGTAAATTCGTTACATGACTGGCGAGTTTTTTTCTGTATATACGTGTACGTAAAACACACAATATGCGACCAACTGCTTCAACACCGTCCGATTTCGTTGACGATTCAATTTTGTAAAAGTTTGAAGGGTCACCTTTGCGGAAACGTAAAGCTCAAAGCCCTGGCCCAAATAAATTGTCCGTGAAAAGTTACAAATAATTTTGACAGATTGTATGGTCAAGTATAATCTTAGAATCCTACAAGTGTTGATGCTGGGCCAAATAGGCTGACAATATCTATATATCTAATTACAAATGTATATCTATATTGGTAATTTATATCTAGCTCGATGATTGTTTGCATATTTACACACTTCTTCGTTTTGCAAATAGAACTCTTTTAGTGTGATGACAAGTCAAGTTTAACGACCTTGACCTCCTGGGTTTTGAACCGCCGATAAAGTTCTAAGTCACATAAACTTGTGGGTACACATAACTCTTTTGAAGATTTTACAGTTAGGTCTGTACAGCTAATACTACTAGCCTAAGAGATTAGGGTTATTTAATCAATTTTTTTATCTTAATGTGAGACTTACATTAGAGCAAGAATATAGTTTCTCCTTTACAAAAAACAAAATCTTACCAAGTGTTGCTTTCAAAACGATTCGGAATCCAAGATGGCGTCCAAAATGTCCGCCGATTCTTTGCAAAAACGGGTATATATCTTATTATAGTAGATTTTACAGCACAGATTATCCTGTTTTCAATAAAAATGTATACAAACATTTTGGAAATAGTATGTTTTTCCCTGATCTTGGGACGAAATTACCCCACTCACTTTAACCAAGTATAAAACTTACAAGTAATGCGATTTCTTTCAATGTTTGCACCTTGAACATTCTATTTATGAAAAACAAAACAATATTAGAATTTAAGTAGTTTCTTGGAACATTTTTAGGTAACCGGTTTTTTTTAAATGTGCAAAGAAAGGGCATTTTTCTTTGACATTTTTGAAAATTTTAATACATTGTACAAAAACCTGAAATATATGTATTTGATTGTAATTCAATTATAATTTGATTATTTCCGAAATGTTAGTATACCTTTGTATTGAAAACGGCAAATATGTGTTGTAAAACCTACAATAAAAATCTAACATAATAAAATATATACCCGTTTGGCATAGAATCGGCGACCCTTTTGGATTCTGAAACGTTGTGAAAGGAACATTTCGTAAGTTTTGGATTTTTGTAATTTAAAGGAGAAACTTAATACTTGATCTGGTGTAAGTTTCAGATTTGGACAACAATTTTGATTATAGGCCCTGAGGTCTTATGCTAGCAGTTTTGATCAATAGCCAATTTTAGAGTATTTGCACAAGTTGTTGCGCTCGCAAAGATGCTTTGAATCAGTACTGCTTGATTATTATTGGTTTAAACATATTTATTTTTTCATCAAGTTACAATTTTCACATCAAACACAAAATTTATACAAAATCATGATAAAGTGGATTGAACTGGAAGCTCAAAGCTTATTGTAATTCTCTCCACTTCTAGCTATACATCGGTACATATTTTGGCGATACAGATGATTTAATAAATTGTTACATCCAAGATATATTAACATTATTATTATTAGGAAAATAAGACAAAATTAGAACAAAACAATCGAAAAAAAAATCGAAAGAAAAACATAAAGAAGTGTAAAGAAGTTTAAATTAGGAATAAAATTCGAGTAAAGAAGAAAATATGAGAAAATTTAAAGATATAAAGAAGTGTGAAGCTATAGAATTGGGCGAACTGCAGAATGACACATTCATAAAGATGATGGATCTTTTCAGATCAGTCAAAACGTTTAGACTTTTCAATATAAGTGTGAACAGCTTTGAATATACTTTCATTCTCTCCAACTGATAAAGATGTGTTTCCTGAAATAATGGTTTTAAGAGAAACAATACAATAAGTATTGATAACATTTATCAAGGAAGGTCTGATATTATCATACTGCCTACAATGCAAGAAGAAGTGAGAGGCTGTTTCACGTAATCCACAGGTACAAAGAGGTGATGGGATGATATTTTTGGAAAATAGGTCATCTGCAAGTAAGCTACAATTTGTACGAATACGGGCGTGAATAATTTGATTTTTACGTTTTCCAAAGTAGAAATATTGCGGTACAGTTTTTGTTTGTTTAAACAATTCTTTCTTAAAAGTTGAAACTGATGCTGCATTTCTAAGAGATATAGGAAGTTCATTAAAGGCTCTAGTTGTTGCAGGGAGAAATGAGTCATAGTACAGCGATGTTCTAGCTCTTGGTGTTCTACGATCTTCACGGTTACGGAGGAGATAATTTTCGTTATCAACTAATGGCGGACATAAATCTGAAAGATAAGATGGCGTTAGGTTGGACTTCATTTTGTAGAAAAGGAGTAACTTATGTTTCTGACGTCTGGATTCTAAAGTGTCCCAACCAACTTCATCAAGAAGCTTTTGCAAAGAGACTAGTTTAGTTGCACCTGTAACAATACGGGCAGCCTCATACTGGACATTTTCAAGTGCGGTTTTTTGCTCGAGTGTACAATTGTCAAAAACTATATCACCATATTCTAATATTGGCCGAATAAATGAAATGTATATAGTTTGTAACGATTGTCGGTCAAGAGTGAACTTAAGTTTCCGCATTATATTTATGCGCTGATAAGCTTTTCCAAGTACATAATCAATATGAGTATTCCATTTCAAATTATTTGCAAAAATTAGACCTAGATGTTTGTGGCTAGATACCTCCTGAATTTCAACATTGTTCATAAATACGTGAGGATGATTTGGGGTGTTTGGTTTACGAGAAATGATTAGAGATTCTGTTTTCTTAGGATTGAATTTCACTAGCCACTTTGAGGCCCATCTTGATATTGTTTGTAAGTCTGCGTTCAAAGTTTCGGCAGCACTTACTGGATCTTCGACTGTAATGTAAAGACTGGTATCATCAGCGAACAGGCGTATATTAGCTCTTATGTCGGCAACAATATCATTGATAAAAATGAGAAAAAGAAGGGGACCCAAGATGGACCCTTGAGGTACACCTGCTCTGTTTCCACCTTGATATTTCACCTGGCACAACAACCCTTTGTTTTCTGTTCGACAGATAAGAGGAGAACCAACCTTTAAGATTTCCTTTAATACCAAAACTTTTCAATTTATGTAACAGGCCTTTATGCCAAACCCTATCAAAAGCTTTGCTGACGTCGCAAAATACTGCTCTGACCTCTTTTCCAATTTCAATTGCCTCAGTAAAGAAATTATACAAGAAAGTAAATGATTTACGGTTGAATCGCCGGGGACAAAAAAAAGACTGAAAAGGTCTTAAAAGGTTATGTGATAGAATATGGTTAAAAATGTATTTATGTGATAGAATATGATTATAAATGTATTTAAAACAATTCTTTCAAAGACCTTCCCTGTTGTACATAAAAGAGATACAGGACGGTAATTCCCAGGTAAAGATCGATCTCCGGAAATGAAAATTGGAGTGACATTGGCTTCTTTCCACGCTTGAGGATATCTAGATGCACGAAGAGACTGATTGAATGGATCTGAAAAAGGAATAGACATTTCTTTGGAAAGTTCTTTAAGAACCCTGTTGTTAATTCAATCAGGGCCCGATGCTTTACCTAAAGTAAGCGTTTGTAGTAGTAACAATTGAATTGAATTTATGAGGGGAAAGCTCTTCTTCTTCAATAATCTGTGTAGGGTTTACATCTAAAATGGTTTGATCTCGGAAATAATTGTTAAGAATATCAGCTTTACATTGTTCATCTTCAAATAGATCGTCACCGTCTTGCAACGGCGGTATTGTTGAAGAGCCATTTGATGGTTTTATAAAAGATTTTAGACAAGACCACCAAGACATAGTTGACCTAGATGTAGTTTGAAGGTTTGCAGCAAGTTTATGGATGTGATCATCTTTAGCCTTTCTTATATCTGAAATTAATTGATTACGCAGAGATCTAAATTTTGTCCAGTCAGCTGCATTGTTTGTTCTTTTCGCTTTTCTGTATGCTCTGCGTCTACGTCGTATTTGGAATTTTAAGTATGATGTAATCCATGGAGGGTCACTTGGACGAACTGTTATTTGTTTATTTGGAATACAAGATTTCGAGCATTTTAAAATGACATCAGAAAGATTATTATTGCCAAAGTACAAAACAACACTGTTTGAAATAATTATTTTGTTTCACTGAGTTTCTTTAATTTTGCAATGTGATAACTACATATTTGTAAACCTACCGACCATCCGCCGCTGGCAGTATCTAAATCGCAGTATATTTCTTTATAGACTTTAGATTTCCACAGCCGGATTCCATATATACCATTTCTTTGACCAAGAGACATTTTCTGAATGTCAAAACAATCAGATGCTGGAACTGAAAGAAAACACGTACTATAATTATCAGGAGCATACATATATTACGTATGTATAAGTATTGTCAGAGGAGATAACACGCTAACTGGTTTAATACTGGACGCAGTAAAGAAACCTAAAAATATAAGAAATCAATTTTGATGATAAATAACTTATATTTGAAGTTTGAAAGTTCTCAACAAGGTAAAAAGGTATTGTAAAGTATACCAAATTTTCAGGGAATTTAAAAGTTCAAGGAGGGGGGTATTATTCTGAAAAGATACAAGAGTTGTGAACCTTCTCAAGTATGATATGGGTGACGATAAAGAACATATACTTGAAGTTTAAAGTTAATCCCTTAAGAAAAAGGACGTTTTAGTTAACATATTTTACTGCACAAAAATTGAACCAATAAACTGAATGCGGACGTAGACGCCGAGGCCGACTTGTGTAGAACAGCTCTCCATAAATTTTTCTGAATTTCGATTTAAAAAAAAAAACATCAACCTCATGACTGCAGTCAAAATTTTTTTTCTAAGATGAATCTTATGACTAAGAGTAGTCGCTACTATTAGGCAACTATTTTATTTCGTACTCGTCCGTATATGTTAAATAAACGGGACCATTTTACCACGGATATTAGTTTAGTTTCTCATTGTTAGTCTTTTCCCGTTTGGTCAGTGGTCATACGCGAATAAATTATTTTTTCTAGCTCAGTGTTCTTCTTTTAATTGCGCGCCTTTTCTATTCTTTTGCTTCTTATTTCTATTTCAGTATTATGAATGCGGTTATCGCATTTTAGACAGGTTGCCTAGATCGTTACCTGTTTCACAGAGGTTGCCTGTAACACCCAGGGGGCAGTTGCATGTGTAATTTGTTACCCCGTTTACACAATTTCCTCGAATACACGGATTTGAAGAACAAAAGTCGATACCTTTGATAAAAGTAAAATTACAAGTTATATTTTTAAAGTACATTCACTGTTTCATGTTTGGAGCATATATCAATATGAATATACTATAAACCCTAATTGTATATATCAACTAGTATGATGAATGTTCAGCTCTTTAATGCTTAATTCTTATATTAGGCACATTCGAAAAGATTTCCAGAAATCTGTCTTATTTTGGTTTGACATAATGAACTTGCCTGTGTTCCACATGTTTGATAATAGCTTTGACATTGTTCTTTTGAAAACGATAATGTAAATAAAAGTATGCAATAGAAATTGATTTCAGATGGATATCTATATATTTCTATACTTCTACAAATTGTGTTTAACTTATTTTTCGTAAGCTCGTATTTTATCAGTAATTTCAGTTTGAAGAACAGTTTGAAGTAGTAGCGAATCAAACATTCGCGTGTTGTATCTTTCGTCTCAAATGTTCTATTTCGGTAGATATTTACTTGTGTTACAGTATTTTCCCCTGAATCCATCTGTACAAGAGCACACAAAACCATCCTTGTTATCAAAACATGTTCCGTGAACGCAAGGATTAGATTTACACATCGAATTTGCTGAAAGTTAGAAAAATGATTGTGAGATATAAATTGGTAAAAGAGTACTTTTTATACATGTTGGTAGGATAAGTGTAAGGCAGTATCAACATAACATAATTTTAATTCATTTGCGGGAAACATTTTTTATTTATTTAAAATTCTTTTGGTGAGGTTTTGTATTGTGTTCAAAATACAAAGTACAACGCTTACATTTTGTTTCGCTAAAATTGTTGTTAAAATATATGCACGATCATGCAATGGCATGTTATAAAATGCAAATAAGTTTCTCCGATTGTTTGGTAATTGTCAATGTTATCGAGTGTAATAATATATTGTCATATAAAGTCAAAAACATATTTTGTCCTTACAAATATTGCAATATCTTCCCTCAAAGCCTTGGTCACATGTACATAAGAAATCATTTCTAAGGTCAATACATGATCCATGGACACAGGGATTTGGTTGGCAATGGCTCAAATCTGAAAAAAGTCTCAATTAAATAAATCAGTCAAGTTTGCATCAAACGGTGAATTTACGGTACAGATGGAAAGTTAAATTTAGCTGCAGTCTAGTGTATGAAAAATATGTATACTTTTCTGTTAATTTTGTCGAAAATAAGTTCGCATGTGTTTCATTCCTATGCAATTACCGCTATATCGCAATAGTAAGTTCGTTTTTAGTTTTGCAGTAGCAGAGTGTATATATAATTTTCGTAATTCATTAAATCTTTAAATGTAACAAGTATCTAAAATGGTATTAGAAATAACAGATAAACGGGCTATGAATTAAATAGTATATTTAACAATGATTTTTTTTTTATTTTGCTGTTGTCGCTGTTTTATCATTAAAACATTTGATTGATTTACCACAAGTTAGATGTGAACATATATCAATACGATACGATAATGCTCAATCAAATCGAGTCTGCAAAATTTTCAATTTTGCTGGTTTGTGCGTTCTGTAAGGTTTTCTATGTTTGATTTCCTTTTGAATATCGTAGCTATAAGGTTTGAAAACAAACACTGTCTTCCCTCATTTTAAAATTGTTTCTTCTATTTTGATATACTGATTTTTGTTAAACATAAAATTATTTGGAAACAAAAAGACAAAATGTTTGATGAGCAAATATTGTAGATTGAAAGATGAAATCATTATTTATCCTTCATAACATACTGGGACACAGATCCAGTTCACACACTTTGCTGTCTGTACTATTGCCTAGACATATCTGACCACCGTATTGTGGTGCAGGATTCGTGCAGGATCTTGTTCTTGTCTTTAAACATTTTTCGCATGTAACGTCACACGAGGACCATGCAGACCACGGTGTCCAGTTTCCGTCAACTTTATGGAATTGAGTCAGCACAAATTCGAATTTGAATACAAACAAACTTTAATCGAGATTTATTAATGAATTATTAATAGATTTTAAATAATTAAGCATCGCTGATAAGTTTTTGTAAGACTTTCAATATCGGCTTAAACTAGTTTTCATACATTTCCGAATTTTAAAAATAGCTTATTTTTCACATTTGGAGAACATAGTTTGTTTGACTTCATGCTAAAATAAAGCTACATGTTTCATCCCTTATGAAACCCATTCGAAAATATGTTTTACGCAATTTGTATTTGTTATCATTGTTGCGTTTTCTTCAGTGATAAACTTTATCAAAAGAAACTAGTCAGAGATAGTATACATACCAACGTTGCACAAATTACAAAACTTAGGGCACACTTTCTTAGCTTGAGAGATATCATTGCATATGTTGAACAAAGAGTTAAGTCTTGCACAGTCAAAGGAATCGTCATCAATACATGATTGAGCTGAAATTGATTGGGGCTGTCTAAGATAAAAATTGTTATTGACATATCGGTTATTTTCAATATACTTGTATGTGTTAGAACAAAACTGTAATTTAGAGTTAATTAAATGCACAAAAAAAATATTGAAAAATTTTAATTTCTTGACTTAAAATTAAATGAATTAAATATTCAAAACTACATCATTAATAGACTGAATAACATCAGAAAAGTCACCCAATGACAAATACGTACGTTTCAGATGTTCACATAAATTTTTATTGCAATGATCACTGGAACAGCATTCAAGGCAATCAGTTGTTTGTCTCGTATTAAGATCTCTGCCTACTATAGTGGCTGGAATATTTCCATGGGCTGCGCATTGCTGTTTTGTAAAAATGTATGTTGAAGAAGAAATAATAATAACAACTACACTATGCTGCTATGCCGCTTTGTATAAAGGCAACCCAAGCAATATACGAATCTTAAAGATAAAACCGGACATGTTTCTTACTCTGCTTATCAAAATATGTCATCAAATGTGTATGCGAACCTGATAAAACTGAATACAAGACACGACGTAGCGAAAGTGTCGACATTTTACAAACTTACGATTGGTGTTAGCATTATCAATATACGTGACTCGAAAACCGTCTTTTCTTATTAAAGCAATACTTATTACAAAAGATTTATCATAATATACTGTACCTGATTGCCGATACAACCTAGTACATTCATGTGATGTTGATTTGTCGATGAAGTATTTAGAAAGCAAGCCTGAAAAGAAATTCATTTGAATGACAACAGCATATTATTACTTTTGGCAAATGACAAAAAAAAACCCATGCATAGTCCTGAGGCATCAATATTAGATACTTACAAGGGTTTTACAAGTTTCCATAACATTAGTTAGCATTTTCGGATGTAAAAGATGGAGAAGGTGTGTGACAAATGTATTCAGCTTTTTTCATTGCACATTCATCAGTTTTCTTAGTTTTTTTTTTCTTTTCTTTTTTTATTTGTGTCACGGTTCAGAACTGATCGCTATTTATGGGAGATAGTGTGTGAGCGGCCAGATAGCTCTGTCAGTAGAGCCGCGGTACGGTATTCCGAGGGTCTCGGGCTTGAGTCCCGGTCAGGCTGCTCATTTTTCTCACCCTGTGACATTTGGCGCCCAACGGGTGACTGTGATGGTATAAGCTCCGAGTTCAATTTCACATTGTTCTCTGTACCCATTAGAAATTCGAGGACGAATTTCAATATAGCGGGGGGGAGTATGTCACGGTTCAGAACTGTTCACTATTTAGGGGAGATAGTGTTAAGCGACCGGATAGCTCAGTCGGTAGAGCCGAGGTAAGGTGTCCGAGGGTCCCGGGTTCTAGTCCCGGTCAGACTGCACATTTTTCTCACCTTTTGTCTTTCTTTTATTTTTTCGTTGTTATTTTCTTTTTGTATTACATTGGACTAAAATTTAAAGCATGATACTGATATGTTTGTGGCGAAATAAGTCTAGCACATGATGTTTCCTTGTACATGAAACACATGGCATACAAAGAACACGTTTAATAGAAATAATTACTTTGAAAAATGAAAGGTTAAAATACAGATTATAGACGGGACTTGTGTAGTTTTGTTAAAAAAAATCACTGAAATTTCAGTTTCTACTGTACGCACCTGTCCATCCTTACATACAAGTGTGTTGTTGCAACTATTGACATCGTTTATAGCCTGACAGCTGAAACATTCTAGTGCAGCTGCATTAAAATATACAAAAAACACGTTCATTTTTTAATAAATCTTAGGTGTTATGGGGCTTGCATCAACTATTATCTTTTTTTTTTCATTGCGCTCGAATGATATCGGTTTTCTAGAATATGTAAGACATCAACTTTCAAAACGTACAAAAATGTATGGTTTCTTTATCAGGAGCATCGCTCGTACGTAGTAGCATTGGGAAAAATATAAATTAGAAATTTATGTAGAAAACTTAGATAAAAGTTAGAATTTCTTACGGATGAATGAATGTAAATGATTTAAGAACATTACAAAGATCATGTTAATGATTTAGCTAATGAAAGGAAATAATTTATACATACCGGTGTTCTGAACAAATAGATGTACAATTGACAGGACGAGTAACACTGAAAGAAATGAAAAAGATCAAAATTAAATTTTTTTTCTTTTCAAAAAATATCTAAAAACGATTTTCCCCACAAAATGTTTTTAAAAAACTAACTTGGTTTTTTTTAAAAATTTAACTTTAAACTAAGCTATATTATTGTGTAAAAAAAAAACCTTAACGTTTTTAGTCAATATTTGTTTTTTTACGAGTTTAATTTTAAAAACAATAAGAATTATGAAATACAAAGCCCAAGCTGTAGGCTCACTTACATTGAGATATCTTAACAGAAAAACATGATCAAAAAGGGGAAAATAAAAATAATAAGGTATTTTTAATATGATTATATAGTAAAAAAAAATTTTAAAAAAATTTTACTTTATGCCACTTATTTTTTAAAGAACCCCCCTAGGATAAAAACTATCCTTCCCGCCATAATCATAAAAAGTTAATATGAAATATGTTTGGGAAAAAAGTTTTCCCCCAATTTTTTCTCTTCTTAAGGGGTATTTTGACTCTCAAAAAATTTTTCATTCAGCCTTGTGGGGTTTTTGTTGTTTTTTGATATCAAAATCTAACAATTTAAAAACAAAATACAAAAAGGGAAAATCCCTTCAAATGTTAAAAAGGCTTTACATCCCCCTTAAGTGTTGAAAATCAGTACCGTCAAGCCCCTAAAGGCGTTTAGGGGTTGCCTTTTTAAAATTTCTTTTTACGTAAAATGCTTCCCCAATTTAGGAAATTTTTGAAAATTTTCCGCATTTTGCCAGTTTTTTAAATAAAAGAAATGCTGAAACATTTTTTTTAGTCAAAAAACAAAAAAAAAATTTTTTTTTAAGGGAAAAAAAAAATGATATTTTGAATATATTAACAATTAAAGCAGTACTTACTCATCCTTAAGACCAACAATGTTTGCAATATTTTTCTTTTAGACTGATAAAAAATTATCAACAAGTTTTGACACACATGATCTAAAAAGATAACGAATTTTAAAGCGTGTTGTTCCAATGTTTTATTTAAAATAGCTAATTTAATATAACGGGCATGATTTCGGTGACGACTTCTTGGACACTTATACAAATAATGTGTACGTTAAAGAAACATGAGAACGTCGGCTTGGCATTCCACAATATGCCGGAAAATGATCCATTAAAACCTTAAGCATTGATATTTTGTAGTAAACGCGGTGAATTATATCAATAAAGATTAGATTTTACATCAGAATCAAGCCATTTCAGAAGAAAACATCGGTTATAACCTTTATACGACTGCTACTTATGAATCTGTATATAGCTATAACATTTCTGTTACTAGGTAACACGTTACCATGCACTGTGCAATCAGCAACCTTCTCGGATGACTCTTAAAAATGTATATACGGAGAGTGTAATAAAGGATTATTTTTAAAATGAAACTTATTTTGAAACAAGAAAAGCACGTTGCATCGTGCTGTACGATTGTGAAGATTCAGAAGCATATCATTTCTGATTTAAGATAGTGGATATCTCATTGAAACTTAAAAATAACCCTCTCTACGCATCTTATTAATCAAATTTCAAATGCATGGTTAACACTCACATGTTGTTTGTATTATAGAGTAAAACTGTTGTATATAGACCAGATTACTGATAAACTTGAATTGTATTTAATTTAATTGAATGAAACAACGAAACATCATTTCAAACTATAGGTGTACTTTTTACTTTTAATCGTAGAGTTTTGAGTGGATGCCGAAGCCGTCACAGATAATGAGTGTAATCAAACGAAATTCTCATGTTAAGCATTGGTAAAAAGCAAACAAAATTCTGATAAATAAGATGACTAATGTGGTAAGATTTTTCTCCCTATCTTTGAACACATAGCTTTTTTGAATCACGTTATTACTATCACTGGCCTACTAGCATAGAATTTAAAAACGTCATGGAAAGTCACGATAACATAATCTTTAATTTCCATGACGTAGGGTCATCATGCTCATGCCTATGTCACAAATGAACACACTGCCCCCGTGCGGGGTCAATTTTCCCAAACAATCGTAATATCGGCCGATGTCCGTCGGACCAACGTGACAATAGGACGGCAGCAACTGAAAATTTTGGTCATCGGGCGGGTGCCGTCGTGTTTTAAGTACTACTAAAAAAGCTAACGGTGGCCGGACGATTATTTTTAGGGTCAGAGAGTTGAAAATGTCATCTGGCAGTTATCGCCAGGTCACCGGACAGCGCCCAGGCGATGTTTTTGGCTTGGACGATTGTTTTTGATACAAAAACACCGTCCGATTTAAAAGGCGACCGGACGGACATCGCCGGACATCGACCGGCGCCCGAATAGACACCAGTTGGCGAACGAGTATCACCCGGTTCGCATACGATTCATGCACAGTCACCGGGTGTTCATCGTTTTGTCGTACGGCGATCGCGCGGCTTGAGTTTGTTATAATTACGGGGGCTTCAGATTTCTGTAGTTGCCTAAAAATTAATCAGTGAATTTTTAAATTTGTTAACATGATTTAATATGAACTCTATGGTCGTGTAAGAACGTTTACGCGGATTAATATTAAAGTAAAGGCAAACTACAATTGTTGCATTTTTGCTTGGTCTTCATCTTGTCTCTATTAGCTGCCTTCTTGGCTGGCATATTGACCACTGACTGATTGTTTAAAAGAATATCATATAATGCCAAGCCTTTACCGCCCGGCACCCACACGGCGACCGTCCGATCCATTTATAAATCGCACAAGCGCCGTCCGGATATCGGGCTGCGACCGCCCGATCTTAAAATGCTGTCTGTAACATCATTTCGGCAAAACTCGCCCGATGACAGTTTCATTCATGCCAACGCAAGGTATTAGATTTAAAATCGCTCGGCGTTCGCGAAATCGTCAAAACCAACAATTTTGTGAAAATCGTTAAATCGTGCGGCGGCCGTTTTATTTGTGGCCTTGGCGTTACTAAGTATTATTATGTGCCTTTTTTATTTTTGCCATTTCCCTTGTTGTTGTTGTTGTTAAATGTTGTATAAATCCTTCTTTTTTGCAAAACACTTTCTTAAATTAACCGGGCTTAGGTTGCGGTAATTTAATGCAATGAATGAAGGCTAGCATCTAAAAAAGCAAAATTTCAGCGTAAAAGTTGTTTCTTTAATCTTTATATATTTCCAATGCTTTAACAAAGTAAAATCATAAGCGTAAGTATTTACAATTGTATAAATATTTGCATACATCCCTTGTAACATAAAGAAAAGAGTTATTTATAAAGAACGCCCAAAACGACAAAAAATAATAGACTCGATTTGTTTAAAGTGGCATTATGCCTATCCAAAGGTAAATTGTGAGTGAATAGCTGCAAGTCAAAATCAGTTGACATGTTGTCATAACTAATTTACTTCGCATGAACACGAAATATGGAAATCTATAAAAACCCATCGAAATTAACCTGTAACGTGAATTTTCAGAAAGAGTGGGCAGTCTATTTTATATTTCAGGCAGCTAAACATTTACCAATATAAACTGTTGGTAAGTCATCATGATTACAGTCAATATTAGAAATATATGTCAGTTCAGCTCAAATTATCAATGCAAAAATGAGCATAATGTCACTTTAAGCCTGTTCACGAACGGTAATGATAAAGCCTGCTTTATGCCTATTAATCTACACATTGTTGTTAATTTGACATTATGACATTTTCTTCGAAAATTTATTGTTCAGGAATGTATCGAGGAAAATATGCATATTTTTTACTTTCATTTGAAAGCCTGAACGTGTATGTTTATTTACGAAAAATGCGAATGCTAGAGCTTGGGTGCGTTTGGAACAGTGGATCCGGGATGTCTTCATTGTGATGTTTTTGAGAAATTAAGTGTGCCTCAGATTGATGTAATTACACTGTGGCACACTTTTAAGTTGACATGGTAGGAGTAGATAGTATAGGGGTGCTTGAGTATAATGAACAATTTATTTTATGCTGCAAACATTGCAGGACTAGACCTGTTTGACGAAACCTCGATATTTGTCTGTGGTAAAATAAGCTGGGAAGGACGCTCTGACCTTGTTATCATTGACAGAGGCACAATGACTACCAAGCGGTATTGAGATGTGGTTCTTTGTATCCAAGCAAATCTGTGTACTATGCACTTGGTGATGGGCCCACTTAGATAGACGTTTACGAGCGCAGTTGACCCCGATGTAATGTAAGGGAAGTTAAAAACCCCAAATCTTTCAAATGCCGCCGGAAACAGGGTTGTTGCCTTATGATGGTTGTGCCTCTGAAAAGTACTTGCAGAAATAGTTTACCCGTTTGACATTGCCAGACCCGTATCTTATTCCCGCTGCCAACACGTAGAATAAATAATTCGTGTTATCACTGACTGCAACTTGTTTCATTGCTCTTAAAGACTCACCACTACCAAGAATCCCTAGTACATTTTCTGTAGGCGACTTCTGCATATTTATCCGTCAACTTAATCATAACATGACCTGTAATGATAAAAAATTTGAAAATGGAGATAAACAAAATCTCTACAAAACGCCTACAGAGCGCCTAAAACGTCAAATTTAAAAATATTGCTGGCTCGTTTTCTTAGCCCGTGTATGTACAGTAGAAATAATGACAAACTATTGTCCATGCCCTCTTGCACAGCCGATAAAAGTCATTAAGATAAATCTGCATGATACAAAGATTCAAAATAATGACATAATATTTGAAATAAAATACTGTAAATTGTATTGTCATTGATCAATTCATTTTTATAGAAGATCTTACAGGGGTGTTTTTTCACATTGAATTCATAACGCGAGTTGTATCAAAGTGGTCAAATAAGACACTTTGCTGTCAAAATAAATTTTATACAAAACTTGACAATGATGTTTGCACATTTCCATTGAAGCAATCGCCATTCCTACTTTAATAGCGCTTTTATGTACCAGCGTACGTACTTCACTTCAGTGTTGTTATATTTTTGTGGTCCTCGGGATCATAGACTCCAGCACTTTTAAGTGTTGAAAATTGAGAACCGCTTAAGCCAGTGCTAGGGGGCGTGAGGGATGTTGCACTTTTTCATTATTCCTCAAGTACAGACTTAAACAAACCGAGTCTGCAATTTTCATGTAATTTTGCTGATTGTGATGCTTCTGATGGATCACTTTTTTCCAGATATTTGTTATCTTTTCTATACACTAGTCCTCTCGTCTATCTCCCATCTGTCTGTCACACTCTTGTCCGTAGAATAACTTTACAACTTCACACAAAGTGATAGATACCGTTGAGAGGAAATGCAGTACTAAAGAAAAATAAATCCACCTAACTTAATTATTAAATTATTTCCCTTTATGATACTGTAAAATGTTAAATAATCCTTGTTCGGTTCTAAGCTATCAATAATATCACAGTCACCGAGTTGAATGAGAGGGAGTGCAGTTTTAAAGAACCATAACTCTTCATTTTATTTGAATAACATCCCTTAATATTGCTTGTATAAAGATATAGTATGCTCATCAGTGTTAACCTATAGTGAGTTGAATTTAAACGTAGCATTCTTCTATGCTGTCCTGACAAGATGTAAATGTTATATCTAAAAGACTGACAATTAACAGTATTTTCAAATATCAAATATCTTTGATTTAAAATTTCACATAGTAATAGAGATTAGTAAGAAGAATTGCAGTTGTAAAAAACAAAGTTTTACATTGCTATATTTAAAGTTATCTCCCTTAGCTTAAAATGTTTAAAAATGCTTATACAGAGAAAACTGTCGAACAATCTTACTGAAACTTTTTTAAAAGTTTTAGAGATTTGTCTCCAGCAGTGCAGTGACTTACTGGATGAAGAAAAGGGACATGTCGGTAATTAGGTAATGTCACCAGTGCTAAATCTTACATCTTATACTTTTCGCTTTTATAGTTTTTATTTTGTGACTGACGTACGTAAATAATTATCTTGCTTGGTACTTTAGGTTTGAAGGGAGGATAAGTGGTCACTTAGGTCAAAGAAGTGACGAGACTGATAAAATAATATTTTTTTTGTCATTTTACTCATGTAGCATTTATTTATAGACATTTTTCTTTAATATTTGGTAGCTTTTTTATTTACCTTCTTCCCCTTGCATTAGTTTGACGTAACCTTCTACGCTCTTCAAAAGATAGTGGAGGACCTGGGAAAATTAGAAAAAAGAGTTAAGTGCTTTTTTCCGCTTTTGCAAAGATAATTATTTAAGAATGTTACGCATATTAGAGTTAAGTACATATCCAGAATGCTGCCACTCACGATTCACCCTGTTAACATACACATATGCAGTAACATGCACTATTCACGTCCACACATGAACGTACACGCACTATGTACGTCAAAAACTGCACAAGCTTACCCCGTTGACGTACAAATACACACTCAGTCTTATTGACGTCTGCACAGACACACACATGCTTTATCTACGCCAACAAATTAAAACAATTGGCCCATTTTTAAACGCACTGTTCACGCCTATCTATACACACACGTGCGTGCAAGCGTACACACACATGCAAACACACGCACGCACCGTTAACGCCTGCATGTACGCTCACATCTTATATCAAAATAATGTTTACAGTTCTTGCGTTCATACAATTTATGACAATTTATATCAAACCTGAATATTCGAGTGTTGACCTCGTGTGGGGGTTGCGTTCATTGAACGCCGCCTTTCCTTGTTGATCTTGTTTATCATATTTTCCATTGCTTCGGTCCTACAGATGCCGAGATTTTTTCTGGCTTCAACAAATTCATTTATCTCCTCTCCTGGAACAAACGTTACAGTTTCAACTTTATTCTCCCGTTGAACGCACCGGAGTTGTTTTTCAAGTAATGGGACTTTGTTGGAAAAATTAACAAAATTAATGAACAATTTATACCCCTTAAAATCTAGCACCCGCTTTATATCATCAATTCCTGATAAAATCTGTTCACAATTAATCATTAGTTTGGTTAGTATAGCATCATTCCTGTTTATAAACATATTAACTTTAAATATTAGTTCTTTTTCTTCTTTATCCAGATGATCGTTTATTTTACTCCTGAAAGTTTTAATTTCATTCAGTAATGCATTTTTCATATCAGTACATCGATTTTTGTTAGCCTTTACTTGTTCTGCAGTTGTTATAGTCGAACAATTAAGTTCTTCAAGTTTTCCTTTCAATTTCAACATTTCATCGCTTTGTGCAATGTTTTTGGACAATTCTGTAATATATTCTGTCACACAGTTCTTATGCCCAAGAATGATAAAATCACAACATGCAACGGCGTTATGTTCCCAGCAGTAGAATTTTATCCCCTCGTTGTTATGCTGTCTGCATTTCTCTGGATTTTCCAGAATGTTTCTTATCAATTTGGGAGATGTACCCTCAATGAATATATGACTTCTACATTGTTTAGCTTTACGATGGCAGCTAAAACAATCTGAACACATATATTCCTCACATTCTTGACATGTACCATTTACTGATATTTCTTTGAATTCAATTTGGCAGGGTTTACAATAAGTTTTTCCTTTACTATGTACTGTTTCTACTTCCTCTTTCGTAGCTCCTTTGTCAGACGCTAACTTACATATTTTAACAGACATTACCTTATCAGCTGTGTCGAACGCTTCCGTAACTTTTTTCTCGGACGTTTCTTTCTCTCTATCATCAGATGCTTTCTCATTTCTTTTGTCAGAAGCTTTGGCATCCGTTTTATCTGACGCTTTCTCATCTCTTTGGCCAGACGTTACCGTGTCTTTTTTTATTGTCAGACGCTTCTGTATGTCTTATGTCATCCGTTTCCGTATCATTTTTGTCAGACACTTTCTTATCTTTTTTATCAAACACTTTCTCATCTCTTTGGTCAGACGCTTCGGTATCCAAGTTTTCAGTCGGTCCCTTATGACCAATATTAGAAGCTTTCGTGTCGTTTTTGTCAGACGCTTCTGTATGGCTTATGTCATTTGCTTCCGTATCTTTTTTGTCAGACACATCTTGATCTCTGTTAACAGACGTTTCGTCATCTCTTTGGTCAGACGCTTCGGTATCCGTTTTGTCAGACGCTTTCCTATCACTTTTATCAGACTCTTTCATACTCTTTGGTTAAACACTTCGGTATCTCTTATGCCAAACGCTTCCTTAACTCTTTTGTCAGAAGATTCCATAACAAATGCAATAATGATATTGCGTTAATGAAGAAACAACTCAGGAAAATGCCTTACAGTAAATTTTACAATTTTACAACTTATCTGTTTTTTTAACAAAAGTGTCTTCATATCAATAATCGGTTAAACGTCGTATGTGTATTAGCCCCGTAATCAATATAGTGATAATATTATGATAAAACGATAAAGTGGGATTAACATTGCAAAGAAACGTTTGATGTTATTATTTTATGACAGAATGTATACTGATAATGTATGATTACAGATATATGTATACTTTTTTCTTGTTATGTCTGGTATGAATTGAATAGTTTATACAAAGACCTTTTTGGGAATTAATGCATGTATATACATTTATAAATTATGTATGCAGACTGTATTCTTTGTTTGTAACAAGCTTTCTGCAGAATCGGTCGATTTCATGGTGCCAACTGTAAGAACTCTAACTAATAATAAAATATTCCAACAAATAAAAAAGTTTCCAGTCTAAATGTTCTATTATCTCCACATCTAAGAGTATAAATCAAAATTAATGAATTTATAGTGGTTCGTTTTTTAATGTTCTGCGGACGAAAGAAATAGTGTTATCTTAATTAATTAATGTTAAAAAAGAAGGATTGAAAGTTTATTTGCGTGATGTTTAAAATTATAGGAAGCCATGTGGTATTATATTGATAAATATACTTAATCCCCTAATTATTACCGAGGCACAATTTTGTGAATTACTTTCTTTGATCACTTCACATATTTCAAAATTTTCATAAAATCTAGCACAATTCTGGAGGCATGTTGTTTTTACAACATTTTGCCAGGCAACATATTGCTTAAGAGAAGTGTATATTTTTAATATAGTTGTCACACATGCATTAGGCGTTTTTACGGATTAAGTTAATTCCGCCTCGGTTTTTGTCTTTGGTAGTCTCTTATTACAATAGGATAAAGGATATTTCATTTCTTTTATTTTTGGTTAATATGTTTGTTTCTTTGGACATTGTCAAAACTTTAATATTAATGTTTAAAAAAAGTTTCATTTGCCAATCAATGTAGAACCAACAGAATCTCTGTCGCATTTTACAATTTTCTGTTAACATTGTGCTCATACCACGTGACTTTTTTGCGATCTGCGAGGGACAAAAAACGGTCTAAGCTTAATTTTATTTATTTTTTGATTCCAATTATATTTTTGAGATAAAGTGTATAGGTCGCTCAATTAAATACGTTTCTATATACATTGAATGTTGTTTTTGGAAACCAATCAATATATTTTATTCACTAGAACAAATTAAAAACGTTGCCTGGACTTGGTTTTCTGTCCCGCGTAGATCGCTAATATCACGTGATGTAAGTTACATAATAGGTCAAATGACAAAAGAATACTGAAAACATATCATCAACCGTTGATTTAATACTAAATACTTCAAAACAGCGACAAAAAGACAATTAATTGACAAATTCCTGTTAATCACTAAAATAAAGGACAAATAATTTTTAAAAGGATGTTTTAAAAACATAATACATGTATTTGTTTATCAATTAAATATCAGAATGTTATATCAGAACATAGGCCACAGAAGCTGCCACGTTTTTTTTTATTCTGCTAAACAATAGGATAACTTGCGAGAGTTGCAATGCCACATCTGTTGTTCTTGTTCCGAATCATCTTCATGTATCCATTCATTCCCCAGTATGTACTCCAACTGTAGAATAGAGGCATTATAAAAGTTACAGTTACAAAATATAGGTAGGAATGATTATCCAATGTTTAAAGGACTAATGCATAAGCTTTCATGTCTTAGAAATGTATTGTGTACATATTGTTCTTCTTGCAAAGTGTAAACATTATACATATCGAATAAATAGTTTAAACCAAAGGACTTAATTCAATGTGATCCAAAAGCTAAAAACATAAAAGTTTGAAATTCTTACAAAAAAAATAACAAGGTCACTATAACGGAAAATATTTCCAATGTGTACAGACATATATTAAGGATAGAATATCTGGAATATACTAATTAGATTGATGACGGTGATTTGTTTTATTTTTGACCAGATCTGAGTTTAAATCGTTTTTAAATTATTACACTAGAAAAAAACAGAGTGCGCAAATGATCTGAAATAAATGGAGCGGATTGATATTTACATCAAATAGACCCAAAAATCGTGAAAAAACCCAACTTATTTCTAGTGACCCAATGCCATATAACCTCAGTGGAGTTCTTTTTAATATTATGCGAAAATGTTAAGGAGACTCTACTGAACTTAAAATATGTTTTCTAGATTTATAAACCATTTTATGAACGCCTGAACCATCAACTTGTGTACACATTTTATTATTTACTCAATCTTTTTTTTGCCAGAATAATCATGTTTATTGTGAAAATACGTTTCTTAAACCTATTTCTGTAGGAACAAATATAATCCTACACATTATTTTACTTATGCAAAATAGCCATAAAGTGAAAAGCGTTTAAAGACCCTGTAACTCAATTTTCTATGGTTTTATATCATAAATATAATGCTCAAATGAAGATTTATCAATATTGTAAGTTCCAAAAAAAGCATTATTTGTAAAGATATTACCGAATTTACATTTCATGTTAATAAATGGTGGTAATTAGAAATTTATTTTTTATAAAGTCTAAGTCAATAAAAAAATGAATGCATATATTTTAATGATTACATATGATGTGCACAAATACTTGCAGTACATATTTTACATATTCTTCGATGTTTGAAAATTGTTTTGCATAATCATATACATATATAAAATTTCACTTAAGTGTCGTAATATTGCCTGCCCATATGGTCTCTTTCCGGCGGCGAGGGTAAAGAACCCAAACGCACACATGGTAACAACCTTGATTACAACATACATGATCTATAAATGCTGCTGCGAAAACATATCTTATCCTACCTGTTCTTTATCAACCAATAATCGTTTCCATCACTATCTGAACCGTATCCAACTATCAACATGCCATGGTTTAACCTAGTTGAGCTGCACCAACTATTGTCAAATACTCCGTGGGAATATAGCTTGAATAGAAGCCCGCTGGCGTCTACGCCCACGGACACCGGTCCAACACTTCCGACCGCTATCTTAGAAAATAAGGTATATTGTTAAAGGCGCATTATGCCTCAGAAATCCATATTTTTCAAATAATTTTGAAATGTCAAAAATGTGTTTAATAATATTTTAATAATGGATTAAGATCATGTTAAATGATTTACAACTGAAAAAGTAGCGCTGAACATGCAGTTATGTGTCGTAGAGGTAGCAAAATGTAAACAAAATAGAATTTGGACTTCCATACAAAATACTTATTCACAATTATACCAATTGCCAAAAGAACTAAACACACAAAAGATAAATCATGTATATAAAAAATGAGTATGTTTTTGGAAACTGTAACAAGATAGCAAGATTTGAGAGAAAAAAATGATATTACAATGTCTCAGAAATGCTATCATTTTCATAAAAAAAATACTCTTTTTTATATTTCAAATTTGTATCTTGTCACAGTATTCAAAAAATGTGTCATATAAACTTTTGCTGATTTTCTCATGTTGGTAATTGGTATAATTATAGTAGATTAGTATTTTGTATGGAAAGCAAAATACCACTTCGTGTACATTTTGCTACCTTTAGGACACGTTGCTGCACGTTCAGTGCTACTTTCTTCACGTGTTAAAAATCTAAAGATGCAAAACAAACTAAAGATGCAAATGATTGTTCATGTACATTGCAAATAAGTATATTTTTAGAAACTGTAACAAGATTTCAAAAAATAAAACAAGTTTTTGAGAAATAAATTGATAGCATTTAAGACATGTAAGACCGTTAAAAAAGGACCATTGCTAATTCATTGAGAGTCTCTTGCAATTACGCTTTCGAGTTAATTTCATACTATTTTACAAAATATAGTGTCAAATATTTATCTTTACTTCACATGTAATTAGACAAAAAATGTGTAACTCTCGATCATTATTCATCAAAAGAATACTCGTAATAACCGGGTTTTGACGGAAAGGGCCGATTAACCATGAGTAAAATTTTGTGGTTAAGATGCGGCAACCCTTAAAAAGAATTTATACTAAAATCTAGAATTTACGGAAAAAAAGATCGAATAGCTCCAACTCAGTTTTCTTCTTATCTATTATCACGCAGGAGAAAGCCGAGTAAAAAGAATGCACAAGAAGACAAACTCACCTTCAGTTGACATTCGTCCCCTCGTGGAAGTATATCTTGATACGATCGTACAGTGGCCCCAATTGTTGACTTGCTGAATTTACACCTACCAACCTTGATATCAAAAATATGAAAATAATGATATCATGATTATAATTTATAGCCGAACTTTTCAAGTGATTCCAGTGTAGCTTTCTATACATGCTTTTCAAATACAAAATGTATTCATACCGCTTTTGCGGCTCAAGACAACATATACTCGTATATTTTGACGTGACGTCATTCATTACAGAAAATTTTCTTAATTCAGCTATTCAATCCATTCAATATTAAACCTGAGCCTACATATTAGCAAGGTCTGTATTGATCACATATATGGCTTTAAAAGTGCAGAGAACTGCAAGATTTGTCACAAACCGTTACCTTAATACAAGTTATAAGGTGATTCAAAATTTTGTTAAATAATTTAAATTTAGGAAAGCCACAAATTGTGTATTATTTAGGAGAGTAAAAAACACACACATAAAAACACATATTGCGTGTTCTTGTTCTTAAATTGTCTAGTGTTTCCGGACTCAAATTGAAATGCCGATTTTAAGCTGGGTGCAGGGTGGAGGGGGGGGGATACTTACAAATCTTTGAGGAATATGGTTGTATGATAGGGTATTTTTTGCCCTATAGTTCTTGGGTAGAATGAGTATTTTATATGAGTATTTAAATCTGTATTTTATATTTTTATTACTTCCAAAGTTCCAATATGCCTACATGCGTACGTAGAGATATGTGTGTCGTTCTGGAGTCTGTTTGTACTAGCATATTAAAAACCCTAAAATATTCCGGAAACGGAAACGGAACTTGCATATATCATGTTACTTGCGATTCCCATACGACACCGTCTGATCATTCTCCATTGCTATTCAAACGGTACTTATTTTGAAAATTTTCTGAAAAAATGATAAATGGTCATGTACTGATTGAAAATGGACAAGCCTATTTAAAATATTTTAATGTGGTAAGGGTTGAAAATATGTGAGGTAAATTTGCGCATGCGCATCATACCTGTTCCCGATATGGATACGATTTCTCAGTATCAATTCCACTATTATCGATGATATATCTAAAAGCATGGTCCATCAGTCCCCCTTTGCAGCCTTTGTTTACTGAATTCAAAATTCAACAAAAAAATCTGATTCATCAATTACTGTGTAAATCTTGCTCGACATATTTGAAATGAATGACGGATTGCTATTAATAAGTTACTTTTTATAATGTAAGTTTGAATATACAAATCAACTTCAGTTTCAATTTAAAAATGTAACTATTTTATTTTTTTATTTTAATAGAGTACGTGTTTCCCTAATATTTTAATAGACATTATCGCAAATTGCGATAACAAATCGTTTAAAATCATGGTAGGTATAAATCTCGGATATTATCCAATCGAAACTATCACGAAAACCCATCATCGTCGTCATGCTATGCACTTTTCTCGTTCAATAACATCTGCAGAAGCATTCAGACTTACTGATGTTAATGCATGAAAAATCATAATAATATTGGTGCTTGATTTGAAAAAAAAAAAGAAATTTAATTTAAGAATGATGCCATCTTTGTTTATGGTTGAACATTACTAAATAATTTCCCTTCTATGTTATAAATGTAACAGTCTCCAAAACACATTTACGATAAATTTACAACATCGTCGGATTGAACGGTACACAGTCCATATACAGTACATATAGAATTGATGAGATAAATTGTCGCGTGTACCATGGAGCTAAATATACATGTGTACTGAGAATATATTTTTATATAATTTGTCAACAAGAAAAAACATCAAATGAAATTCGGTCGTGTAAAATTCATTTTCTGAGGATCACTTTATGGTTTTAAATAAACAACTATCATCAATTACTTATGAACTGATCAACAAGAAATACTTACAATACTTGGAGTTATCTGTACAGTCTATGATATTTTGTTCAGACAAGGATACTAAGTCTCCAGTTTTTATACAATGGTGGGCTTCTAGCGAACCTGTGCTTGAAAATGCATAACAGCTTCCACAACCACCCTGTTATTATCAAACAAAACAAACAAAAAATAAATTGTGAAATTCCAAAAGCAAATATCAGTTAGAGATACAATAATAAGCTGTTGAGATCAATTGAGGACACTTACATCAAAGCAGTGAAAGACACAAGGATTTCGCCTGGCGTCCTGCAAAGCGAAAGGCAAAAGCACGAATTTACAACAAAATGGTGACTTTGTCGTATTATTGTGCTTTCGCCTTGCGATCCTCGGAGCGAAATAACGGCAAAATATAAACTTTGTCGTATTTTTGTCCGGCGCCTCGTGGTGCGAAAATATGACAGTGCACAAATCAGCCACGAAGGGGAAACTGTCAAGCTAACTTACGTAACCTCAGTACATGGTTTTACTTTCAAATGCAGTTGGCCGCTCAGGCCTGAAATAATGCACGGAGGGGTCCCTGAAATCTTGCTCCTCCATTAAAGCTGGAAAGTCGCTAAATGACCTTCATGTTGTCGGTGCGACGTAAAATCCAGCCAAATGAAAAGCAAATAAAAATAAACAATAATAGTAAAACATAACATTACAAATTGTAACCAGACCTGGTTCTTGACTGGTGTGATGCAATTTTTAGCTCTCCAGTCGATTTCTTTCGGCAACGCCCCAGATATGTTACAGTTTGTGGGCAGGTCTGTCCTTAATCTATCCGAAGCTGTACAGACAAAGATGTTTAACTGACGTCACAATGTACGCCAACAGCACGTCGAAAACAAACAAATCAAGTACCTAATTAATGCGAAATTTTGTTACATTTATTCCTTTATATTTTATTGCTTGAAAAAATATAGAGTGAAAAATCAGTTAAAGGCCTATCATCTTCGACTCGTACTCTTTGTCTGTCTGAAACCAACCAAAACATTTGCACCAACATGACTGCTTTTCCTTATTGCTGTTTTGTTTATGTGTTTGAATAAAATACTTCAACGTGTACAATATAAGACTGTTTATAAACCTGCGAAATGATCTTATAATTTCAAGCCATTTATTTAATATAAGTATTGAAATATAATGAGGGGTACTGTTTTTATATGCACATTTTCAAACTGCATAATTCACTGACATTTACGTGATTATTTTTGTCATCACTGCCGTTGATGTTATTAAAGATATTAAAGCATTTACCAGGTCAGCAAAATGGTTTATTGCCAACCAGAAAGAGTGGTGTCCCTTGTCGGCAGCCATATTGTGTAAATGAATCGCCCGGATGTTGTCTGTAAATACTCCATATCTAAAAATATTGATTTTTTTTAAATGGTAATAATTATTGAATAAATCGGGAAGCACTGATATTAATCTTATGTAAGCGATGCACGAAAAAAAAAAACACGTTTCCATCAATGCTTGTTTTCATCTATACTTAGATCAAAAGTGGGCAATCAAAAACGATCTAGCAAAACTTGACTTAGAGAATCAATTTTCGTGGAAGTGCTTACTGGCAACATGGTCTAAATACATAAACAACCCTGAATAAGGACTGGTCTTCTTGGACAATAGAAGACAATTGTTAAATTTAATTGCAAAACCTTAGAGACCAATTATGGCCTATTTCAAGTTTAACGACTTTAGAAACCATCTGTTAATGTTGATATTCATTTCTTTTAATTAATGTACGTACATTAAAATATAATTTATTTTACATGGACTTTTCATGAATAAAGCAAATAAAATTGCAAGCTTTTAAGTGCAAAAAATTAAGAAGTTAATAGTTCTATAACAAAATATAATTGACAAATTTAAAGGAACCCCACCTGGGTCCAAAATCCTGAACCATTTTGTTTTCATTTCTTATATAGATCAGCTATGACACATAGAGGGGTATGCAAAAACTGATAATGTATAATGAAATCACATTGAAAAGGAAAATCGTATTTTGTGTTACTCTTAGCCCGATTTGAGTGAACGCTTTTCAATATTTGGTCATAGTTCACAAAGAGAAAAACTATTTTGAAAATAAAAACGGAGTGAGCAAATGTTTTGTAATTTGCACACAAATTATGGTATAGGCCTACATTAAATGAAAGATGAGTCTCGAAAAATTATTTCCAGCCCCGTAATGTCACAAACATCTAAGTGGAGGCCCTTTAAAGTCAAGCTTTCAACATAACCTGCATATGTATTCATACCAAATTCCTCACAGCGGTTACTTCCCTTTATCAGTACAGTGACGAAGAATTAAGGGGAGATCACTATTTCTAGATTGATTTCATACTAACCTGTACGTTTCCTCTATATCGGAAGAATATGTTCGGTTGTACTTTTGTTTGAACATGTTCCATTCTCTCACCAAATTAGCATGTTGTAGCGACAGGGTTTCTGCCACTAACAAAAGCATAAAGATACATCTGAACCTGAAAATTATATAAACGGAGAAATTTACAGACTGAGAAAATTTCAGACGAAGACAATTACAGACGGAGACAATTACATCCAGAGAAAAAATTACAGGCTGAGAAAATTACAGATGGAGAATGGGGAGGGTATTGCAGATGGAGACAATTAATTACAGACGGAGACAATTACAGACAGAGAAGATAACTGATGGAGAAGATTACAGGCGGGTAAAATAACTGATTTGAGAAAAAAAAGGCGGAGAAATTAACAGACTGACAAATTTACAGACGGAGACAATTACTGAATTACTGGCGGAGACTGAGAAAATTACAGACTGTGAAAATTCAGACGGAGAAATTTACAGACGGAGAAAATTACAGATGGAGACAATTACAGACGGAGAAAATTACAGACGGAGACAATTACAGACTGAGAAAATTACAGACTGAGAACATTTTAGACAGAGAAAATTACAGACCGGGAAAATTACAGACAGAGACATTTACAGACGGAAATTATTACAGACAGAGAAAATTACAGACAGAGAAAATTACAGACGGGGAAATTTACAGACGGAGAAAAATACAGACGGAGAAATTTACAGACGGAGAAAATTACTAACGGAGAAATTTACAGACGAAAAAATATCTGTTAGTCGATTATTTCAGATGAATGCAAATTCCGCCGAGGTGTAACGATAGTATTATTTTTTACCTTTTTACATATCGTCATTCGTTACGTTAGTGCAATAACTGATTAATTCCTATTAAAAATATAAGAACTTATTCAGTTACTGCACTAAGGTGACGATATGTAGGTTTGCAGTTATTTATTGTCCCATTTCCCGCAAAACCCAAACAAAAATCATTTAAAGGTCCATGATGTCTCAAACAATGTTACTATTTTTTTTATTCACATAATCTTCAGATTGTTGGTATCTTGTCATAGTTTCCAAAAAACACTCATTGCCTTATAGATGAACTATCATTGCTTCTTTTGCTTCATTGGCAATTGGTACAATCATAGTGAATAAGTGTGTTGTATGGAAGTCAAAATACAACTTTGTTTATATTATGCTACATTTACTTCACATTACTATACATCCAGCGCTACTTTCTTTAGCTGCCAAACAAATAACAAGCTTTAAACCCTTTATTAAAACGTAATTAAACACATGCTTAATATTTCTAAAAGAATTAAATAAATATGGATTTATGAAGCATAATTTGCCTTTAATACAACAATAACAACAACAACAAAACAACATAAAACTCATATTGACCCTTCCTGGAAGATTAAAAGATTCTTATGTCTTCCCAGACTTTCCACTAGCCTATCTTTATTTTATTTTGTACAAATAAAGCAAATCAGTTTTAGGAAATGATAGAAAATTTTTATTTCTTAAATTTAAACATAGAGAAAATGAAATTATATGATATTTTACATGTTTAACTCCAGTTTAAGTTGTTTTTTTTTTGTTTTAATATTTTCAAGTATTGTTAAAATTATGTCTAAAAGGATGATTCAACGTACGATTTGTATAAATATCCTTAAATACAGACGTGACAAGTTAAAATTCAAAATTTCTTTAAAAAAGACTAAAAAAATATTAAAATCAAATATGATTACTTACATGACCATTTTCATCCTCTTAAAGTACAGTTATAACAAATCAATTATTAGTTATAGATGTAAGATCCTGGTGTATGAAAGGTCAAACTAATAAACATCTGTATACATGTATCAGACAATTGGGAGAGGGGGTGTTCTTCATCCTGTAACTCCGGAAACTCACGATGCGTATCTCCGGAAACGCCCGATGTATATTCCCGGAAATTGTTAATAGTTGGGCACGTGCATTTTATTTTTAACTGCACGGAATCGTGACAGTAGAATCAAAAGAAGATCAATATAGCTAGAGATACTTGAGTTAAAATGCATCGCATCCGCTTCTAAAGGCCGGGCACCACTAAATATACAATTATGATACATCCTTGGCCAGCGTCCTAATTGAAATACTTCAAATGTTTTTGTCATCCAGCCTTCTCCATTTAAACAGAATGATAATGAAATAATAAAGTTAATAAAGCAAGCCCAAACGAAGATGTGAAAAAAGTTAAGGACAAGTAATTCCGGAAGTATGGAGGAGTGGAATTCTATACGTGAAAATATTGAGAAATATTACCAGAATAATTTTGTTTTGTTTGTTTTATGTTGTTGTTTGTTTGTTTTATAAAAAGAAAAAAGGGTAAAAATATTGAAATTAGTACCATTGGCAAGCTTTTATTATCTATAAGCCTAAAACAATTACATAATCATGATATATTGTTTCACCTGGATCTAGTAAAAAAATCTTTTTTTTCTCTTCTTTATTTCTCTCCCTCTTAATTTTTATTAATATCCTATCAATTAAAAAGTGGCCTTATTTCAATCAATTTATGAACTTTACAGTAATCGCCATGTACCTTCATGTCTTAATTATTTTTTCTAAAGTTTTCTTTGAATTTAAAATTAAATACAGTACAGTGAATTGTACTACTTTGTATCGCTAAAATAAAAAAAAAAATCTTAAATAACGTTGCTTTTTATATGTTTTTCTTTCTTTCTTTAAAATGAGCGATACAACTTCTATGATTGCTTTCATAATTATTTAAAAGATAAAAGGGGGAAACATCTATGTTCAATGTTGTTTGTAACATGCTTAAATGTGCTAGAATTATTAGATAGAAATGGTGAAAATGAATGTGGGTTGTTCAACCAAAACTAAGTAGCAATAAACACGACGTGTGAATTTCGCAGGCACCGCATGACGTCAAAACAACCAACATGGCAGCCTCCATGTTTCAGCGAAATATACCAGTTTTTAAACAAAATGTTTCAGCAGCATTTGGAAACAGCAGTCTTGTTGTAAAGACAATTGCAGTTCTCGTTTGTTTTGGCTACTTTCTTTCGTTCATTCCCGGTGGAACGCCTTACATTACGGTTACACCAGGGTACGTCCTGCCCCCTAATTTCTGGATTTGGACATATTTGACCCACAGCTTCATAGAATTCCATTTTTGGGACGTTTTAGCAGACGTGTTAGTGGTGATTTTATGTGGCAAACTACTGGAACCATTATGGGGTGCAATGGACATGTTAATTTTCTTTTTGATTACAAATTTTTGCGTTGCCATAGTAACTTCATTTACCTATCTAGTGATATATTTAGCGACTAAAAATGAGGAGTACTTGTTTGAAACGTATATTCACGGCCTTGCAGGATATATTGCGGGATTCTCAGTCGCTGTAAAGCAGGTAATGCCAGACCATGTTCTGATAGCCTCCCCATTTGGCAAACTGCGAAATACACACATTCCATTGATTCTGGTAACGGTGGTGATCACGTTGAGGCTACTGGGTGCTTTGGACGGGCCATACCCTTTTATGTTCACATGGGGTGTTGTCATCAGTTGGATTTACCTAAGGTTCTATCAAAAGCACACTAATGGCAATAGAGGTGATATGGCAGACAATTTCAGCTTCGCCAGGTGAGACATTTTACGGTGTTACATATATATATGTATTGCTGAAGTTGTTGGCATTATTCTCAATCAGTTTTGAGCTTGTCTCTTACGAACAAAAGTTCAGCTTTTAAAACTGTGTCGTCAAAAGTACAAAAAAGCAAAATGTAGCCCATTACTCAAACATTATTATAAAAGCATTAACATGAAACTTTGTATACTTGTATGTTGTGCTTTGTTTGTCACAATGGCACACAGGGCACAGTTATTAGACAAAGGTCATTTTTGTGAAGTGTAAATATTTTTAGAGTTATGCCCCCTTTTAAACTTACAATTTTTATCAAAATCGCTTATCAAATTTGAAACTTGGAATACTTAAATATAATGACAAGGCACAGCTGCAAGTTGTTAGACATTTTCTTGAAATCAATAATTTTAGGAATTATGCACCTTTTTAACTTAAATTTGTTACTGAAAGTTGTTGCCTCTAACAGAGTTGACTAGAGTCTAACTCTATACATATCTAAGCACTAGCAGGTGAGATTGTTTGTAACAGTAACACCCAAGGTTAGCCAAAATCATCTTCCTGTTTCAGTGCCATATGATCTAAATTGTGTTGGTTAAGTCAAAAAAACAAACAAACCTTTGTAGGCTTAAATTATAACCTGTCATTCTTTTCATTACAGTTCAATTTTTCACAGGAGTTGTTAACATTTTTTGTTAGGGCTGCTGTTGGGATTATTTTTAATCAGTGTTTAAAAGTGTTTATATTTTATGTAGACTAATGTATAAATGCATAAACTGTATGTGTATATTTATTAAATCTTTTTCAGCTTTTTCCCCAGCCAGATGCAGCCAGTTGTTGCAGTGTTGTCAAACTCTGTGTTCTCTATATTTGTCAAATTAAAGATCTGCAAGAAACCCCAGCGACATTATGATGTCAGTTCCCCGACAACAATTACAATAACTCTGCCTGGTACAGATCCCCAGGACGCTGAGAGGAGAAAGTAAGTCAGATGACCTTTTTGATAGTCATTGCTATTCACGGTTGATTATTTTTACAGTAAAATTTTAGATTGAAGTTGTTTTTCTTTGGTGGAGGTGTTTGTAGTTTTCACTCCGAATCACGGCAGTAAGCCACATTGAATTTACCAGAGCACAGTTCAGTCACCACATCATTCCTGGGCAGGCTGTCAAGCAATTTACCAGTAATAGTTGCCACTTTCGCATGGAACTGAAAATTCTGTACTCTGTACATACAAGAGCAGAGGTACAGTGTGAATGACCACAGAAAAGATTTCATTATAGTCACAACGAAAGTTACCTGCACTGTCTGGGAATCGAACCTGGGTCGCATGATACACAGTCCAACGCTCTACCTAACCTTTTGAGCTAATTGGACAGCTTTTACCTTTTCACTCATCATTTATACTTGGGGGACATGTCAATTTAAGCTTCACCAATTAAAGCAGCCTTCAGCTTTCATTTTCTGTTGAAAAAACAATTTTGTGTTGTTTCAAACTAAGTATTTTAGTAATTTTATCTTGCAATATATAAACAACTGTTTTGAACAAATGAATCGTGCTAGTGAAATGTCTTTTGGGCTAGTGAATATTCCAATCTGGTAGTCCAACCAGTCTAGTGGATTCAAATCCGAATTTCTTACACTGTGGTTGTGTCTAAAACACTTTATTTATTTAAATACAGAAAGCCGAACCAGTAGATTTGTTTGTGTATTTTATCGTCTGCAAATTTCATTTTCCATATTGATTCTTTTGAGTTGACAATTATATGAAATGATTTTTCTAAAAATAACATATATATTTAACCTTTAGAAAAGCTGAAGGCTACTTTAAAGCAGCATGCCTCCAGATGAGCAAAAAATATATCAAGACAATCTAATGGAGAAATATGAAGATTTTAAGAAAAGTAAAAAATATTAAATTCATGTAATCAATATTTTATGCAATGAATGACAGTTGTACCATATTCCTACTTCATGACTATCATACTTTGTAGTTAGCATAATTAAGGATTGTGTTCGCATACTTTGACCTCTTTTTTGGTATCTAAGTTATTTCTAGGTGAATTTTAAAAGTACTGTTATCAATATAAACAATATCAATGTATAGTTGATATTTGTCTGTCAATCAATAATCAATAGACATTTAAAAAAATCAATGATATTGACTTATTGATTAAATGTCTAGAAATTATGAAAATTCACCCAAACAACTACACAAGGAGTTATCTATTTGTGACATTATGCCGTTTTTATATAGTGGAAATATTTCACAGCAATGATGACAAAAAAAAAATCGTCTTGAAAAAAAATTAATGCAACAAGACACTGTACAGAACATGTTTTTAACTGAAGTCATTTAAACAGGTATGAAAATGAATGACTGACAAGTAATTATAGGTAATTATAGATATATCAGTGTATCATTGATATTTGTCATCCGATAATTGATATATCGTTGATTTTGCACTGAATCAATGACAGCACTGTTTCAATGTGTATAATAACCCTAAATGTATGTAATGGGCTTGCCCTGCTTTGAGTTTTGGACCAGTTCATTAATGATTTTAGGGATGTCAGCATCAAAAATGCTAAATTTAACCATATAATAACAAGAAAACATTATTATTGTAAGGATGTTGTATTTCTGATGTTTAATATTCCTCTTTCACTTGAACATTATTTATTAGATTTATTTTACTTTGTTAATTTTTCAATTTGATTTGCCAGATATAGGAATTTTCCCTTTATACCTGAGAAATCAATAATTTTTCAGTTCTGTAATAGAAAGGTCAAATATGTGTTCAATAATGTTTTAATGATAGAGGATTAATTAATGATTAGAGCATGTTAGAGTTTTTTAACAACTGAAAAACGATGTTCTGATCGTGAAGTAATGTGTCATAAGGGTAGCAAAATGTAAACAAAGTAGTATTTTTGTCTTCCATAATAATATATTTTTATCAATTTCCAAAGCGTAACAGAGGAAAAAGATAGTTCATCTATATGGCCAATGAGTGACTTTTTGGAAACTGTTGCAAGATATCAAAAATAAAATGTTTTTTTGAGGAATAAAAATTAACAGCATTTTCGGGGCATAATGGGCCTTTAATCTTAATAATTTGAGGTGTTTTTTTTTCTTTTACAGAAACTTGGCCATAAAAGCCTTGAACGAGCGGTTAAGTAAAGCCAGTGAACCGCAAACAAGTTGGCCATCATTAGACGAAGACGAGGAAAAATCGGGCGATAAAAATCAATCGTCGGGAGACAGTCCGTCGTCATCATCTCCGCAGAACGAAAGCTCAGCATAGATTTAATAGCAGCACAGTTGACATGTGTATATTCAGCATAACTTTACGGACGTGCTCAGCATAAAAAAATTCACAGCTACCGTCAACATGGCTTTTATAGCATAAAATTTAAAAGCTGTCCTCATGGCTTTAACAGCAGAAATATGTATAGTTGTGCGGAGTGCTTTGCATAAATTTACAGCTGTAGTGTTACATTTAAAAAAAAAACACGTGACAAAAACAACTTTTTTCTGTGATACTCGGAAGGACAGTAAGGAAGGCCCAGGCAGAGGGCTTGGTACATTCTCATTTAATGTAAATGTAATACCTTTGTTCTCTATTCTGTAATTGTTTAAAAGCAGCACGCTTCCAGATTTTTGTCGATTTTATTTATTTATTTTTTTTTTTGTTGAAAACTTTTTTTTTATTTTGATTGGGAATTTTCTAGTGGAAATTTGAAGAGAAAAAAAAACATGTTAAGCGACACTCTTGGACTTTGTTCAACAGTTTTTGAAAGCAAGCATTATTGAGCAATGAGGGTAAAGTTTTATTGCTTAAGGAAACAAGTGGCTTGCCTCTGCTGTGGTATGAACTTGTTGGTAGCAATCCTTGGATTGCTGGTAGGACATGTTAACCACAGGTGCCATGCAGCCAGTTCAGTTAGCTATTTTTATCACAATAACTCTACACCATTATAATCAGATTTTGCTGGTTTTGGTGGTTTTTGCTGGTTTGAATACATTTCAGGTAATGTGCAAGTTAGTTGTGCCAATGCTAGCCCCCTATCCTACTGGTAGCTGTGTTTACTTGAATATAATTTATTCAACTTACTCATATGTTACACAGTTGTGATATCAGCAAGGGTGGCCTTCAACTTCACCTCAATGGCAGAGTGATTACGGTTTTTGGCTTGCCCTTCTCTCCTGTGGGTTCGAACTCCATCTGGGACTTCGGATTCTTTCATTTGAGGAAGCTATCTCGGCTAGCTAACAGAAGGTGGCTAGAACTACTCAGGTGCCTGCTTGTGCCTGAAATAATGCATGAAAAACTAATATCCAAACAAACAATCATCATATACAATGCAGATACAGGGTTTGTTTTTCTTTCTATAGCAGTGGCCGTTATAGGGCTGCTTCCTCAAAGAAAAATTCTTTAAAATCATGCAGTTTTCCCCCAAAATTGAATTTACATCAAGTTTTTTTCTTCCCCTTTTGCAAATATACCTAGTATTTTTTCCACAAAACTAAGGGCAGGGCTGCTTTCCCAACCTGTGATAAAAAGCCCCTGAGATACATCTATAGTAACATCCTCCCCTGCCAAAAATTTTCTATATAATGATGATTTAAATGAATAGTCAGATATTATTATAGCACCAATATGTAAAAGTTTTATTTCAGTTTTCATCAGGACTATAGAATTATGAGAGATTTTTATCTTATCTTAAACATATGATATATGATTATCAGATATACTTGTATGGACCCACAAAATGGCAGCCAGGGGAGGTAATAACTGCTATGTGAAATGCATCTATTTGTTTGCAATTAGAAAATACTCATTGTAGTAAAACTTTTCTGTTTCAATAACATACCAGTGATCTAACAGATGTTGTACAACATTTAAAACAGATGTTTATACATATATAACAGCTGTATATATATAGAGGATATTGAATAAGTGTAGGTTCAATACTGAATTTATTGAACAAGTTGAATAAAATAATATTTTGCAAGCCTCTGGCGATCATAATATTTTTTTATTCAACAAGTTCAATAAATAGAGGATAATGAATGAGTGTAAGTTTAATACTGAATTTATTGAACAAGTTGAATAAAACTATATTATGTGAGCCTGTACAAGGATATAATATTCTGTTTATCACATATCCAAAATAAAACTGTTAACAGCAATTAGTGAAATCATTTTTTCATTGACGGGTTTAAAGTGTGACGCTAACATTTAGTGCGTCTTTACGCTATGTTTGTATAATGCAAATAACGTCAGGTCAAAAGATATGCATGGCCAAGCAATACCATACTGGTTTTCAAAAGCGGCACGGGTATGTAATAAACATGACAACATGGTTCAGCGCACACCTGGTTTGATGAAAAAGATACGTGTTGCTGTATTCTCCAGTTGCTTGTCCAGTTACCTTATGTCCCAGGTGTGTGAGAGTGTTGCTTTAAAACTATGATTAAATTATCATAAAGATCACGTCAATCTGGATGCATGCTGCTTTAAATGTATGTTTATAATATGTACAGTAGGTATACGTTATTACTTTGTTAAAATGTTATGTATGAAAATATAGTATAATATTATATATATATGTTACTGGTATATTTATGTTCATGTAAAATAAAAACTGTTAATCCTTCAATGGTATACAAGGCAAAATTTGTACACATGTATCCTGATATAATTCTTAAAGGGACTCCACTGACGTTTTTTGACATCACAGGACAGGTACATCTATCTAATATATTTTTGAAATTAATGTTCCATTTAATGTAGGTCGAACCAATATTTTTGTGCAAAATTTCAAATCATTCACTCACTCCGTCTCCACAGAATTATTATTCTAATTATAAGAAATGACCGAAAATTGAAAAGAGTTGCAATGCTTTTCACTCAAATCGGGATAAGAATAGCATAAACAAGTGATTTTTTCAAGTATATTTCAGAATTACATATATCTTTAAAATATGCATATCTTTCTATTCTAAGTCCCGTAATTGACATGTGGAAGAAATTGAAATTTTATGTTTTTAGGCTTTTAGACCTCAGTGGAGTTCCTTTAACCCTTTTGTTTTCCCTAATGGATGAGACTTACTTACACTTTTGGAACTGTCCATTGTCAATTTTGGGTGTATATTTTGGTTAAAATTATGTAACTCCATCTTTAATTTGGAACAGTCCATGTAATGTTTTTAGGGATTTTAAACTAGAAAAAAATTAGAATAGCCGTGTGTGGTGTCAAATGGATGGCTCTTGTTTGAATTGCTACTTGGGGAGAGACCATGTGTCTTAATACATTTGTACCTACATGTTAACATGCAGTGGGGGCGTCCGTGGCTGAGTGGTTAAAGTCGTTGACTTCAAACCACTTGCCCCTCACCGCTGTGGGTTCGAATCCGGACAGGGACTTTGGATTCTTTCATGTGAGGAAGCTATCCAGCTAGCTTACAGAACGTCGGTGGTTCTACTCGGGTGCCTGTTCGTGCCTGAAATAATGCACGGAAGGGCACCTGAGGTCTTCCTGCACCAGTAAAGCTGGAATGCCGCGATATGACGTTGATATGACGTAAAACAAAAAAAACAATCAAACTAACATGCAGTGGTAGGTTTGAGAAAGATGACTTGGAAGTGATTGATATAATTTTCAAGAACTTGGTTTCACAATAATTATGCTTAAAAAATATATATGAGCCGTGTCACGACAAAACCAACATAGTGTGTTTGCGACCAGCATGGATTGGAACAGCCTGCGCATCTGCACAGTCTGATCAGGATCCATGCTGTTCGCTTACCAACTCTATTACAAGTTGAGAAACTGATAGCAAACAGCATGGATCCTGATCAGACTGCGCGGATGCGCAGACTAGTCTGGATCCATGCTGGTCTCAAACCCACTATGTTGGTTTTGTAGTGACGCGGCTCATATATATTTACAAGTTATAAAAATATAACTTAGAAATATATTTATCGTAATTTTTCTTGTACCACTTCTTAGTTTCATTCACTGCCTATTGCTCTTGTTTTAAAAAATTTAAAACTATTTAATTGGAGCTTTGTATATTAATCAATTACTCTAAAATTAAATATTTTATTATTTGAGCTGTTAGTAAAATTAATTATCAATTAAATATTAGATTTTTTTGCAGTCGCTGTTTTTTTTATAGAAAAAATCATGCTACATTAAGTCATTGTTTAGGTTATCACTAAGCAGGATGCTGATTGGTCACTTTGAAGATTTGTTTTCAGACGGACCAATCAGAAGGCTTCTTTTAAATTCTTCACATATCATTGATTGATTCAATTTGTAAAGAATTGTTGATAAATTTGCGAAAAAAACAAAAAACAACTTGTAACATATGGGGCATAATTTGTTCAAATGTATGGTGTTTTATTGATATGTTATGTTAAAGGCACATTATGTGTCTGAAATCAATAATTTTATAATAATTTTTATAGTTTAAATATGTGTTTAATTATGTATTAATAATGGATTTTGAGCATGTTAAATTACTAAAGAACATATTGCGAAAGTACAGTAATGTGTCGTAAATGTGGTAAAAATGTAAACAAAGTAGTATTTTGACTTCCATACAAAATGCTAAATGACTGTAGTTATACCACTTTCCAAAGAGCAAAAGATTTTTATCTAAATAGCACTTAAGTAGCTTTTTGAAAACTGTAACAGGATACAAAACAGAAATAAAAACTATTGCATTTCAGGGGCTTAATGGGCCTTTAAGCTATATATGTAAATAGTGTTTTATACCATAAATAATGTATGTTAAAAGTGCATTAAATATATATTATGTTTTTTGTTTAAATTTTTGGATACTGATTCACCTATGAAAATACAAATGTAGAAAGTTTATAAACTATAAAATCAGAATTTTTTTTTTACGAGGGATAAATATTTTCGTTGGTTCTTAAATTTGTGGACTGTGTATTTTTTCAGAAGGGTAAAATGTAAGAAATATGAAGCAAAATAATCTAACAGCAGACGTAATAAAATTTTTGTTGCATCTTTAATTCTTGGATTGACTTATTCATGGATCAATCATGAAAACCATGAAAATGAGGCCCCGAGAATGATAATGTCAATGATTTTGCAGTATCTGGAGAAAAGAATCATTAAGACCTATTTTGGCCAAGTGTGTGTCACTTTCCAATAAAATTGATTAAGATATTGACAGTTTTCTCCATTAAAAATCTTGGCAACTTAGAACTCTGGCTTTTCTGTTCAATTAGGGTAAAATAGAATATTTGAGTTGGATTTTCTCCTGACTTTGCCCTGAGTGTGTTGTAGTCCCAGTTTTGTTAAGTAAGCATTTACCTATAATTTACTTTTCATGTTTTATTTTTGGAATTTAGGATGAAATAAATTTGGAAGGGTATATTTTAGTGGTGGGGTTAGGGCGAGAGGGAAAGAACCAAAACTACATGTATTTAAATTGTGCTCCATTTATGGCCTTGAAGAATTACCCAACATAAGGCTGGGAGAAGACACTTACACATTTTGTAGCTTGTTCAAGTGTCACGTTTTCGTAATACTGTAGAACTTCGGTAGGTTGAATTTGAAGGGACTTGGTTAAAAACTAAGACACATGTATGTCTCGACCCGTGAATGAGTCTCAATTAAATGACAATATTTCGTATTTTCATTGTGAGAATATATATCAAAAGTACATACATGTATTCATGTATATTGTTTCAATATTTATCACTCAAACAAAGATTTTGTGCATTACATTTCAGTGCATTAGATTGAAAGTTGTCAAATACAATGCCTAAATTCTATTTTGTTGTTTTGGTTTCTTTAGATTATAACATGGGATAAGTGAATAATTGTTTTACTCATGATACAGAGTGAGTAAATCAAAAGTACATGTTCATGTATATCGTTCCTGTTTTTATCACTCAAACAAAAGGTTTTGTGCATTATGATTTCAGTGCATTAGAATTTTGTGCATCCATTTATGTGTCTTCCTATTTAATCTTTAATTTATTTAATAATCAAATTAACATTATAATTATAGTTAAGTAGTCATGATTATGTTGATGAAATGGATTGTCATCAGCTAATAATTTATTGTTGTTACTGGTTACTCTGCAAATGGGTTTTTTTGCAGGCTAATCCTTCAGTACAAACAAACTTTTCATTGAGCACTTTTGTTCGCAATAGATTAGTTAACCTTCTTAGATTTGAAGTTGTTTCGACCCCCAACCCCCAAGAAAAAAAAATAAAGTAAAATTAGCTGCGAAAAACTCATACTACTTTTAATCATAACATACATCATTTGAAGAATAGAGATACTTAAGAACTTGGCAAATATGGATTTTCCCATATATTTCACGAGTAGGAACAAACTTGTTAAGTTAAAACTTGTTAAAAAGCACATTGCGTCAAATCACTGTTGTGAATGGTGGTACAGGGTAAAAGCTATAGTTGTAAAGTGAAAGTTTGCTTGTACCTGGCGGAAAAGCCCACGTTTGCCAAGTTTCAAATTTACGATACGTAGCGTCTCAGAATATTTATTAGTATAATTTTTTCTCTTATTTACTTTACTTCTTTACTATATTATTTGATGTTTTAGTTTTGTCCTTTAATTTATTCTGCGTTTAGAATTTGCTTCTTAACTTATTTGCAAAATACAGGTATATTCTTTTATTCTATGAATGTAAAGGTATATAACAACATGTTTTGAAAATTATGGTATTTGTTAATGGAGTAATAAAAGATTGTCTTACTATGTACAGAAAATTGTTGTTTTTCTTTATAAGCTCCACAGTGTTCAAAGAATAGGGAAAGCTGGCATTGACAACGTTTCACTTTGGATAAGTTTTTGTGTGTGTACATTTTGGCTATCTGGAACAGATTGAAACTTCACACACTTATTTGAAATCATAATAGCAGGTCACTGTCCAAGGGACTTAACTCTAACATAGATTTGGACAGAAGTATGACCCTTTTAGAACTTAGAAATTTCCACATTATCTAGACTCATGGTTTACTACTGGTGCTGAGAATAGTCGAGTCCACTCACTTACTGACAGGTCTTGTTTTTCATGTAGTCCTGAGGAATATAAAAAATTGTTTATATGCCATTTCTGACTGACCCACTGATAACCACTCTAGTCTGACCAGAAAAAACAACTAAACAACAATGACTATAGATCTTCACCTAACTTGTCCTGTAGTTTCCTATTAAGGATGTTTTTTAATCAGGTTTAAAGAAAACAAATTTTTTGAAGCCACTCATGATAGTTAACTCTTACCACATTATTATAACTATAACATTATTCTAGAACTGATGAATGAGTATCTATGGCTGAGAGGTTACCGCTGTTGACTTCAAATAACTTGCCCCTCACCACTGTGGGTTTGAATCCCATCAGGAACTTTGGAACCTTTCATGTGAGCAAGCTATTTAGTATTTTAGCTTACAGAACATTGTTGGTTCTACTCAGGTCCCAGTTTCGGCTTGAAATATTATGCATGGAAGGGCACCTAAGGTCTTCCTTCACCAGTAAAGCTGGACAGTTGCTATATAAAACCCATCCTATGCTGGTGCAATGTAAAACTAAACCCAACCAATGCCGGGACATCATGACATTCCTTTATATATAGATGTTCTATTTCAGAAAATAGCAGAGTTTTTGTAAAAATTGATATATAATGATGGCAATAACATTTGACATAGAAATGAAATGAAAATTTGAAAAAGAAAAAATGGTGCTATACATGTAGTTCAAATTGATATAATTACCTCCCTTTATTAAGTAGGATAAAAAAAGTTATCTCCCTTTAATTTATTGACATTATCTCCTGTGCACAATACTTGAAGAATGTAAGTCCTGTTTCTAGTATGCATTTAAAATTGAATTAGTATGTTCAATGAGGTTGGGATACACCAAGGACTTTAAAGGTACTCCACTGAACACTCCCAAGGACTTTAAAGGGACTCCACTGAACACTCCCAAGGACTTTAAAGGGACTCCACTGAACATTCCCAATGACTTTAAAGGGACTCCACTGAACACTTTCAAGGACTTTAAAGGGACTCCACTGAACACCCCAAAGACTTTAAACGGACTCCACTGAACACTCCCAAGGACTTTAAAGGGACTCCACTGAACACTGCTCTAGAAACTTATATATAACATAATATAATGAAATAAACCTCTTTCATAGGAATTGATATATTTTTGGAGATTTATGTACTATGTTCCTTTGATTTTGGTCTATATCAATAACTTGTTTGCACTGAATTTCTAACTATTCCCTAACTCTGATTTTCCAGAAAAATGACACTTTATTAATAATTATGTACAGTGCCCAAAATTTGAAATTTAACTAAAAATAAAAAAGAAAATTTTATATTGTGCAACTCAATATAAATTTACCTAAAATTAAAAAAAAAATACACTTGTATATCTAAACTTGAATTGGACTAAGGCTCATTTATTCTGAATATTTAATTTACTCTATTTTGCTGTCTCCTTGAGTATCTTTAAAAGGTAAGATATTCCGTTTTATAATTATTTAAGGACTCTGGTATATTAGTGCTCGCCAATTTTTTTTCACGTTGTTATTGCACCTATACTTGGAAGCTGGAAAGATCTTCACAGATGGAATTGAGCTTCAATTAGGATTTCATTTATTGTTCCAACAAAACGTCCATAAATAAAGTAGATAAATCTATACTGAGTTAAGCGAGTATACAATTCAAGAATCCAAAAGATTCAATTAATTTATATTTTTTAATTTAAAATTTATTTCATATAGATTTACACATTAACAATATTAAGATATATAATACATCATTTAAAAAAAGAAAGAAAAAAAGATAAGAGACATAACACGGAAATTTCAATATCTAGTCTATGTTTAAATCAATATTGTACACTTCCCGTGCGGAACCTCTTGCCTGTATAACGATAACCAATCAGAATTGTCGTTGTAAACAGTACAGTGAGTTGACCTAATTTCACGTGACACCGCACTTACGAACTTTCGCTATATGTATATGCAGTATTTCGATTGAGCGGAAGTCAGTGCGCGAGCATGCGCTTTGCCATATCTCGTTCAGTTACCGCTCACGTTTTAAACCGTTGCTATGAAGCGACACTAAGTGTACATGGCTTTTACAACTAAAATATCAGACAAACACATTAAAACAATACACATAAACTACACATAGTTATTTTCCATATTAATATTTTGCATTTGAAACTGATAGTCAAACAAGTATCTCAATATTCTTACCGATTTAATGTATTGTTTACATGTGATGACAGCAACGCTGTGTCACATGTGTGTTAGATTACTTTCGGTTCAGAAAATTCATTTGTTTACCATCAAAACTCATATGTTTACCATAAGAACCATATATAGATAGAAAGCAAATTATACAAAGGTAAAGAAAAAATTGTCCATTTCTGAACAAAAAATCGAATAAATAAATACAAAGTCTTTTTAAAAGGTCCCTTCTTTGAGTTCATTTGAAAGGGGAATAATTTGGTGGAAATTTAGACAGGGAAACAGGGAGTTATCATTCATGGCTAGGGAATATGGCCGACTGAAATCATGCAAGCAAGTTTGTAAGTGCACCGGTAAGTCGTTATTTGTACATTTTCTTATTTGTTTGTAAACAAAACGTGGTTTATATACATGTATCCCCGATGCAATAACAACGTGAATTGAATACAAGTACGCTATATTATCATTTTGATTATAAATTTGATTTTTGTTGATTGAACACCGAGATCTTTTTGTCTGCTGAAAGCTTTGTCGGTGGTCACCGTTTGTGCGTGCGTACGGATTGAGTTATTGGCAGAAATGTTGATTTTATCAAAATTTATGTCTTAGACGTCATTATTTGTGTTTATTTGATATGATTGTAAATAAACTTTGATCGGAAGGACAGGAATCGGAATGATAATTTTTTATTAAACATGTCCGTCCGTTAGTGTGTTCGCATAATTTTATGCGAGAGGTACACCATGGGGATCCGTTATTTTTTTCCACGAAAGTCGCTCAGCTTTGCAGTTTTCATTTAGTATAAAAGTAGTGGCAATAATTATTTGAGTGGTATATATTACAAATAAAATTATTTGAGTGGTATTTATTACAAATAACTCTATAAATAAGTTTTTAAATAAGCCATTAGAAATATTGTTTTAATAGTAAAAAAAAATATATATATTAAAAACTGCAATAAATTCTGCATGTATGTATTGATTCTACATGAATACTGCACAATAATGAATGGATTTATGATTTAGTATTTATAAAACATACATGTTGTAATTTTGTAAAACTGAGAAATCCTCAGGCACTGACCGGGAATTGACCCTCCACCCCCACACCTCTCGCTTACAAGGCGGACAATCAAGTGATATTACAATTGAGGGGAACAATCAAGCATGTCGCTAAATGGTTATAACCAAATAGCAAGGATGTTGGAAACACTGGCACCAGAGTCCTTAAAGCTACATTAAATAAATTTTATAAAAACAGAAATAACGACATTTCATTCACAAACTGGATTTCATAACGACCCCTGATCTTACTTTGGTGTAGAGACAACCAAAATGAGTTTTAAAGCATAAAAAGGGTGCAACCTCATTGTTGGGAAATTGGAAGTACAATTTCAGTTTGCATGAGAAACTCCGCCTTCGGATCATCTGTACATCAATATCAAATCAACAAACATGACTATAAGTAGCAGTCCTAATCTAACGGTAATTTTCCGCATTGTAACAAATGTTTTCATACAAATTTAATATTTTTTATGAGATGATTTTTTTTCTGCACCCCATGCCTAGTGCACCGTGAAGCTAAAACGGTAAAAGTATGTTTGCACAAGAAAATCTCATATTTGTTGTGTTCCGGAAAGCAGCTATAACACCGTGACGTAGCGCATACAGGGGCTGATTATAGTCTTCATTTGCATGTTAAAATTCGTATACGAACTTTAGTGTTACCGTGGAGTTTTCCGTTTAAAATCCCAATTTATGAATAGTACAATTTGATGAAATTTACAACATTATTGTTAAAAAGGTTAATGAAACTGTTGAATGCTTGGTTTTTAGGCAGACGGCAAAATAATTTTACATATTTATTTAATGTAGCTTTAAATAATTATAAAATAAGGGTAAAGTCAAAAATAATGAGGCAAAAATTTGAAAATAGGGTCAAAATTGAAATTTCATATTTCTACT